GATCAGACATGAGCCCATTACAGTTGCGCATAACTCAAATATATTATTACTGCTTCTGTTAGGAAACAAAATAATATCGGTAACGTTCAATTTAGTGGGTTCAGTTGAGATGGGCGAAACGGTTTACTTGTCCGGTAAGTTTTGCCAGTTCTTATAACTACAACTAGCTATAACGTAGACAGAGAGTGAGAGGAAACGGAATAAAGGCAAAAGACCAAGCTGAAGCATATGCAAATAAAAATGATAGCCGCATCTAGAATAGCAACGAAATTTCTCGACCTAAAACCACTTGAGCTGCCGAGCTGCACTGAAACATTACCACCTACTACGGAATATGTGTTTCCTTGCCGGTATTCATCTGTGTGTTTCGGTTTTGTGTATAAGCTAGTGCGTTTGCTTCTTAACGAAATCAACTCAATCCATTTAAAAAAAGATGACGAAATGGATGACGATGACAAAGCCCTTAATGAAAATCGACGAACTAAATTATTAGCTGAATTATTAGCTCAGGATCGAATAAGGCAATCAAATATAAGCTCACAATATTTCACTATTTCCGCCTTCCTTATAGCGTATTTCCTTCGGCTGTCCCTGAATATTAATTGGCAATGCACGACTGTTCGTAATTTAACTAAAAGTATAGCGGCTAAGAGAGACAGGCTGGAATAACGTCCAATCATCTTACAACTATGCAGCCATTCGCCTTAGGCACACAGCCATTTAAAGGCTCTCATGTTTTCCAAATCAATTTTGAACAGCCAACAGACAGCTGCTCGAAGTCGAGCGACTGTGGCCTCTAAATTTGATATGATCTAAGTAATCACCTAGCTTCCTCTTGGATCGATTTGGTCGGCACACTGCGGAAGAGGAAAATTCCCTCAAAAAAAGGGATCTGATAAACAACTGTCCGACGTCATAAATCAAAATCCTTCAAAGGAATTAAGTACACCAAATTATGTACTCAGTACTCACGACCGAATGTCAGTAGGAACGGGATCTGAGTAATTGGGCTTATTCTGGCTTCTTAGAACTATAACGTAGCACATAAATATTCCTGAATTGGCAGTACCGGCGGTATCTACGATTAATACTCTATCAAATATATGTTTATATATTTTTTGCCAGTCGTAAAAGCCTCAAGTCTATTAGAAGGCCCAGAGTTGTATTAAGATTAAGAGGATATGCCCCATTCGCCTACTCTATGGAAGGACTCTAATTACTAAATGGCTCACTCAATCAATGCATCAAAAGATCACATATATGCTGAACGAACATTCAAAATCGAATTAAACAAAATTATAGAAACGCTGAAATAGAACAACCAGCTCTTCTCAACAAGGTATTCAAGACTTTTCAAAATGCTATATTATTGACTTTATCTGCATTTATCTCGCTTTTTCTTCTTCGTTCTCGTCAAATAAGCTAAAATGGTAGAACCCATGCACAAGCTAGACACTGATAGCATGTGCAATACCACCCTTAGGAACATCATTAACTAGCCAATAAGAGTCCGACCAGATTAGTGCTGTGATTGCTTCGTTTGGATTCCAAGATCCAATATCCCAGATATCTGATGTAGCCAGTCCATAGCGTTTAAAAAGCATTTTCATTTAAAAGGAAATACAGCCGATCGCATCAACAGACGGCTTCTCAGTAAAGAGATGACTCGAAATCGCGGCAGCCTAAACAGTAACACTTTATACATTTATAAGGTGGGAACATGAATTAATTTAATTGCTCAAAAATCGCAAAGTGATCTTTCGAGAAAGCTCTGCTCTACCACAGTTATCGATGAACTCGGGTTCGCCAAATACGGAAAGAGGACTCTTGAGTGGGTAGTTGCCTTGATGTCGGAGGCCGACCAAATCCAAGGGACCTGCAATGCTGGCAGCTGTCAGCCTTAATCTGAGTTCGCTACCGTAACCACAGGGTGGCCCTCGCGGTAGAATCTACGCAGGACGTCAGCGCCTGTTAGCAGGGCGTAGGTTTTAGTAGAACTTCAACCTTATTCACACCTATGTTTCGATCTTTATGTCCGGTATCGCCGTTAGGCATTTTATCAAACGGCAACCTCGTTCGCCTGAATTGACTTCGCGCCTCTACTTGTTACTTACCTCGCCTAATATCTGTTTTTCGCCCTGCTCCTTCTTTAACGGCAGAGCATACACTAATCACATTACGATAAAAGTCTATCTTTTGTGTACCTTTAGCTAGTGCCAAAGGCCCGACCGAGAGACGATAGATCAAGGGCTACGAAATTTACACCCGTTTCCGTTGAGACCCAGGCGCGGGTAGGCAACGTGAGCAACTTGGCTTTGCTATTCCAATCCCGTATATAGGACCAATATTTAAAACGACTATTCAGTTTTTATTGGTTTCGATTAACTTCACTTAGGTTATAGCGTAACGCTGGAACTTTATTACTTGACTAAACGGGAACAGCTGAAAATATTACGTTAGAAAATAAAATAAAAAGGGAAAACCAAGAGAGGAGACCTGTTCAACTATGTCAGCAGATCAATTTTAGTCGAGGATTTCAAGTAGTCAAGCATAGGGTGGGGCAAAAGCCCCTTGATAGTTTGAGAGCATTCATTTTATTTTTTTTACTATATTTTTTATAATAATGTATGTATATATCTATACACGGTACACATCTGTCAAATCACTTTTTCTTCTACACTGTATTGCACATTAAGTTAAGTCACGGCTTTGCCATTAATTTAATAAACGACGCAGGCCTTATTTTAAAATAACTTAAGCCAATATTCGTCTATTCAACTATAATATTGGTATGCAAGATAAGCAGCAAATAGTTTTCGAGACACAACGCCAGTATAAGATAAACAGGCAATGACCACTATGCTGTTGAAGTCTATATTCCTAAGCTGTGTATTCTCCATCAAACGGGATTTAGGGATATTCATTCCAATAATCTGCACTTTCGATAACAGTCAGCTAAACCAGAGGTATTACGAAGGTGGACTAAGTTTCAGCATATTACACTAATGTTGGACGTTCTGCTATATATTACTGTAATTCGCTTTGTGACGATTATTCCAACACACTAATGCGTCAGCAACTAACTAAAAGAACTGTTGAGTGATACACAAATTTTCGAAAACATCAGCGGTAGACCGACGTTCTGCCGTACCAATGGTTCAGGTGATGGAGCTAATGTATGATGCTGATAAGACATGCTAACAGAGTGGATTAGGCAGCGGGAACCGATTAAGCACTCAAGTAGCGTTCAGGGACGTTTTTGGCAAAAAAGAGGGAATCCCTGATCTTTACTTTTCAAATAATACACATTGTGCACAGTATGGTACAGATTACGTGAGTTTCGTATTACGGACCAACATATACCAATAATTATGAACATCTTATGGACCAACATATAGAATTCCAGCGATCACGATGTCTCATTTTTGTATACACGAATTCAGTTACATCGTTATCTTACATACGCCCCAATATTGGAAGAAATAAGATTGTACAAAACAATTTTGCAGCAACGACATTAATTATACGTTAACCACCAAGTTTCAACGCTCAATACGACTGTAATAACCAATTATTGGTTCGCAAGTCCGAAGTAGCCGATTCCTTTCACTTACGCACGTTTAATAGTTTCTTAGGCAGTAGCTATCACATTGAGATCAAGAATGTATACACTGACAAAAACAGTTATAGCACCAGAACAAAAACTTATACGACTGTGGCTAAAAATAGTGCCATGGATGTTTCCACTTCTCTGCTGCGTGTACCTCGCCAAGCCAGCTCTCTTTGGACTTTGACATTGTACCTGACGTATTTGAGCCGAATGATGACTGCTTAAAGAGGCGTCTGCGTATATCAAAGTTACAAAGGCATTCACAGCGCCAAACTCGCGTTCGTCACGTCGTACGAGTCCTGGTTTCCCTGGTTCCTACACACGTGTTTTCGTAGAGCAACATACCTCAGATATTAACATCTCCATTCAATTAGCACAGTACCTACATTTTTCCGTAGAAGTAAGCGTTACATTTGGATATTTATGTAATGACTTTGACCTCGGATACTTTCTAAAAAAACTACGATAACTTCGCTTGATTTTACAGTCGCTCATCTTAGGGGTACCGCCGCAGAATTGTATAAAGGACGTCACTAGAAACGATCAATTGTTTCGAAAATATTAACCGCTATTTGGTTATTAAAATCTATCGCAATCATAAAATTTATATTTAACTCTAAACGGAGTATAACTTTTAGAAAGCTCGCTAAACAAAGAAGTCCGAATCTCGAAGTGATTAAACTACGGAAAGAAGAGGCTGCAAACTATTTCAAAATGAGCTGAGTAGTAGTTACGTGCAAATTGAAAGTTATCGACCCTTATTATCTGTTCATAAATGTAGCCGGTTCTTCAACAGCCCTATATTTTTCGAAACAAATTTCTAGTGTAACTAACTGTTCTTCGCTTCAAAACTTTACCAAATCAATCATTCAACTTTTCAAAAACACCACAGAACAATTTGAGTTAATAGAAACGACGGAGTAAATTCCATCGTACTTTTTTGCACTTTATTCGTTGGGATCCTTATTCAGCTTGCTGAGAAGCTAAATAACCGGTATCTCATGTGAAAGAAACTTTATCCTTAAATGTATCTAATTTCAACATTAAGTAATTTTGAGTTAGAGTCCAATATAAATTTGAAAATTCATTTAGGTATATTTTTCATTCGCACTATATGTTTCTGCCTAGATTGTATATCAGCCCCTCAGTTTAAAAACATACGATTACATACAACTTGAAGTCAAGGTATCTCTAAAGCTCTATAGCTAAAACCATGAATTCCGACTGAGTTGAAAATAAACGCTACAAAATGTACACCCTAAAGTAGGTACCGGTTCTGATTTAACAGCAAGGCAACATTCTAAACAATAGATATATACTTTTTTCATTTTACAAAATACAGACTAAGTTCCTCTAAAAATTTCCCAGTCACATGAATAAAACTGCAATCTCAATTACTTCGGAAATTGAGTTTTATTACTAAATTCGTTCCCTATGTACACAATATTTATGCGTGTGTTTCATATATTTACACACCATCTCCCTATCATTATAGGAATGCTATTAAATTATACAGATCATAATTTAACTAAAACACGAATAAAATTATTGTTGAACATATTTAACCTCGTCGAATGCTTTCCGAGCTTTCTTCAGCTCCTCATTCATCGTTAGCAGATCCTTGACCCTCGCGTACTTACGCGGATCCTTCCGCACCAAAAATATTATATCTTCTACTTGAATTCGACCTGGTCTACCTGTAAATGGTATACGAAGCAGCCGATTCAGATATAGTGTACATAATGCAGTATGCAAAGAACTTGTATTGTCCATTTGTCTCTCCGAAGATTCTATCCCGTAGCTTTACAGATTATATGAACATAAATTCCAGTTTCATGCGACCTTTTGAGTGAATATTGTTCTGCCAGAGCAGAAAAAAAGCTGCAGCAACACACGATTAGTCAAGTAAATGCGAAATAAGTTTGGCCATGATCACCATAGAGGACCCCTTTGCCAAGGACAAATACCAAACACCGCAATACCGAAGACTCAGTTATGTGTGTGCATTTTTCTGTCAAATCACTCCGTAGAAAGCCAATTTCCCTTAATTCGAACAAATCAGCGAAACCGCCACCAACAGCGCCAAACAAAACAAAAGCCTCTTTACTTACCGATCTCCATGGCGCGATGGCACAAATCTGTGATGAATTCAATAACCAGTTCTTCTAATAAATCGACCGTTTCCATGTACGGTTGTCGGTCATCTCCAAAACCATACATCATAGCGCACAGCTCCTTGGAGAACAGACGCTTCCGCTGAGCTGTCTGTTATATAAAAATGTTAATTCTATATAGTATAATACAAAAATACATGGATATAGTGTGATTTCATAAATTGTAAAGATAACGATTTTTAAACGATCATTTTCAACTTCTTTTTAACAATTGACGAATCCCATCAACAATATTCTAGATCTAGAAATATTTATCCTATTTTTAATTCACATCGTATGCATAGTAATAAAACTGAGCGACTCCGGCCTGGCAGGCACATGATTGCTTGATATCTACTTTATCAAATGAAGTGCAACATAACAAATCGAACAAGTACTCTCAAGGAACTACTTTATAGTTACTAAAATGTAACGAAGGCGTTAAAAAAGTAAGCTACGGTGTGTTAGTATTGTGCATGAAGGCTGTATGACAATGGTTTTTATTTTCTGGTAGTTATTTCAAAAAATAATATTGTATTTTGGACATAAGTTGTTTTGAAATGTATGCAGTGTTTCAACTATTTGCACGATAAATCAGTCATAGTATGATAGCTGAAGTTTGTCAATACATAATCAAACAATCAATGACCATAAGGGTAACAGCATAGATATAGAGAAAATAAAGCATGCTCTTAATATTAGTATTCACATAATAATATATTTCATCAACAAAGGTGTCGATTTTACCTGGGTGTCGATTACGTCATCATCTTCATAGTCGAAATCGTCTGCCATTTCGGTAGGATTGAGAAGAGCTACTTCAAACACTGGCAAATTCTTTCAATAAAATCCACAAATCGGAGACCCTTAACACATAGGTTTGGAACACAATATAGAATAGGATTGTTTATTGACATACGTGATTTTTATAGCAGACGACAACAGCTTTTTGAGCAAAGAAGCTTCGTGCTCAAAAAGTGGCGGTCATTCTATTCAAAAATGTTTACTGCGAAATTTATGACAAGCACCTACCGCCGACAGGATGTATGCGAACTGAAAAGGATTTTAAATGTATTATAATGAGGTGATACCTAAACGAAAACGATGCATTTAACCCTAACTAGAATTCAATATTCGCCTCACGCACACACATTACGGAAGGTATCTATCGTACTGCTTACCTACCATACGTTATCATATTACTATGATGCCAACTGCCATAGGCCTTTGACTGTTTGTCATGGAGATCAAGATAATTTACACGTTTGTTGACAAATTACACTTAAGAATGCAGTATATTTTTGTGAGTATGAGAACAAACAGTTAAACGTTAAATCGAGGAAAAATATTGCAGACACAATGTAGCATTCGCTTTTGTTTACATGCATAGCCTAAATTCGAATGCGTAATATTCTACGCTAAAAGCGTTTTATTTACTTCGTCGGTCTGTAGTAAGCTTAACAGCGGCTGATCTACCTAGTACTTTATAAAAAGTACTTTATAAAAAGTCGAATGAAAACTATGACTGTGGTTCCCATCCAAGTTTCATGGTCAAATCAACTCCAGTATCAGTTAGGTGGATACTTTCGAGTGAAACCTAGTAGATCCACACTTGCGTGTATCATTAAAAAGAGGTCAACCTTTTCTCAAGTATTGTAAACTTCCCTATGACTGGGCACTGACTCGTAAGCACAATGCGTCCACGTTTTTTCACGTTATCAAAATCGATACCATAACTTCCTTCGTGTAAACCATGAGGCCTTACATGAAAACATGACAGCAATTTAGGCTCGATGCAAGCACTTTGGTTTGACGCTGTGCGTGTGTGACCACCTCAACTTTTTTTATTAAGATTAGGGAGGCGCTGTCCGCTATGAAAGCCTATCTTTATATAATATTCCCCGGTTTCTTCCTGTGTCTATTATTTTATGCAATCTATGTGTAAACTTGGTCACGATTCTCTTATGCATTTTATATGCCTGAAATTTATGTGTCATATATGATAGAATAGGCACGCACCGAAGAAATGGTCAAAATGGTATTTTGTGCCTTGAAGACACTAATTTCAAATTAGCTTAAAGTGTAACTCAGATGGCTCGAGATCTAGGGGGTGCTACAGTTGAGAGAAGTACTGCCCTCGCGCACCTTTCCAGTAATTTCTTCAGCATGTACCATAAACAATGAACCAATGTGATTCGATAGGCTCGTTAGTATTTCGTTACTACTTAAAGCTGATTTGTACAGTTATACTTCACTAAAGCGCCTGACGCGTGACTAGTGACAACTTCGTCGTTATGTCTAGTAAGGCTGTTCGAAGCGGAAGATATATCGAATCTAGACAGACCCTTTGGACGATAACAGGTACGTGCTCTTTTATGCCGCAGAATTCTAAGACAAATAAGCTGTATCTCGTTGTTTGATGTAGTGGTAATAAGTTGGCACTCTAAATTTCGAATAGGCCGATTGTTAAACACTTAATTCTATTGCACTACGAAAAGGAAACTCCGTGAGATACATTTGCATTTCATAATGACAGGATTTCTATCTTTGGTTGTGGATAAAAGAATAATTTATTTTTACCGAATGGTAATTGTTTTACTGGCCCTTTAAAGAAAATTCTATCATTTTTCGTTTATAATTACACCTTAATTATGATTAAGTAGATTCGTGAGCATTCAGCGACGGATGGCAAACCGCAACAGGCAAATAAAAATGGAAATCATCCAAGCTTGAGACTCTTAGGATACATTTCCACTATGGATGAACGCAGGCTTTGTTTTAATGACAGTCCATCAGTAACTTCGAAAGACTAGAGCAGTCTTCGTGCACAAACAAGGTTCTACATATTTGTTTAGGAAATATCGTCTGAACAAAAAAAAGTCACACTGTTGAAGTAATGTATTACAGGCGGGTGCTTATACTTTCTGTCGATTACCTTTTGGCCAGTTCCAGAAGTGCGTTTGCAGAACTCCACGTGATCAATATGATCACATGTGTTCGGAACCTCTATTCGTAGATAAACATCTTATAGGTCTAAGATTTTTTCGGCCACAATTCACTCAATTCAAAATAGCTTAACAATTCATGTGAAATCATAAATATCAACGTCTAGGTAAAGAAAAGCTTGCAGGACGAAATGTTATAATTATTTTATCAGGCACCTAAGGAAAATTGATGTGAATTTTCGTTTTCATGAAAAACGATTAACTTAGCGTAGAGATTTACATGATAAACTGATATTGGTTGTTAATTTCAAGCTTGTATCAAGGATAAGGATGAAAACGTATGATTTATCGGATCGACGATCTTTTGCTTGCCGTATAAGTGGTTACGTTACGACTTTAAGCTATTTACTTATTATATTTTTCGTCAAAGTTCTTGAAATATGGTCACTATTCTATTTTAGAATCATTCTTTATCAACTGTCTATCTGTTTGGATGATTTCAATCTTATATTTGAAATGGAGCCTTTTGTTTGCATATCTTCAGAATAGGTTTCGAGTCTCTAAATTGTGGTTTGTGCCTTCTCGAAGATTTGTAACAATGCTTCCTTTGCTTTATCTCTAAATGCTTTGGTGTTTATTTTAAATGTTCTTGTTTTACTAGGTAGCTTAGCTATAAGAACAGGATTCAAATCATTATCTAACTGAAACAGTACAGCACTAGAAGCATTAGACAGGTCTACAGAAAAGAAACAGCAATACCGGCAGTAGTAATGGAACGAGTTTGCTCCATGATTGCGAACTCCCATTAACGATTTCAATACGCAGTCCATCTTATATGTGTTAGCTTTCTTAGCGAGGAAGATAACAGAGTAAAAAAATACCGGGTCCTAGTACCTTTTAGATCGACCAGGGCGCTGCCCTAGTTGACTCTTGCGTTTGATTTGAGAGGTTTTGCAAGATTCACGCAGACTTGAGGCAAATATTGCTTATCAAAGGTGTTGGCTCCCCTTCTGAGTGCCATTTATAATGAGGAAGGTGGCATGGAGCTCTTTAGAGCGAAACTGTTATCTTCCTCGCTAAGAAAGCTAACACATATATGGTGGACTGTATATTGGAATCGTTAATGGGAGTTCGCAATCATGGCGCAAACTCGTTCCATTACTACTGCCGGTATTGCTGTTTCTTTTCTGTAGACCTGTCTAATGCTTCTAGTGCTGTACTCTTTCAATTGGATAATGATAGTATTTAAGCTCAGTTCCTCTTTAACATTCGCCTTCGCGTTTGACACTCTATTGGAAACGTTAGTCACCAAAGGCTTCATTAATCTACTATTTGTTAATGAATCACTGCAGAATGACGCACAGACATTTTGTTTGTCCTTTTTATTATGCCGATACTATTGCCAGTTACAGTAATGTTGCCAGTAAGTGCACAGTTAAACTTAACATAGGTTTTTATCATATACTATGTTAAAAAAACAGCAACGAATATAAATAAAAACACAACAGTCAAAGGCTGGACAGGATAAGCTCTTGTGGGTTTGATTATTATCGTATATAAACCTAAGCTGTAACGAGAACTCTTGATTGGACCAATTACACAGTGAAAGGGTTATTTGTTTTATAATGAAGAATTATTAGAGTAATGGCAGATAATAGTGATCACAATTTAATTTCTGACTGTATTGAAGTTAAATGTATTTACCTGGTAACCGTAATGTGCAGATGCCGACAGCTTTAATCTAATATAGAATATAATTATAGATCTTCTATTAAAATCATCAATATAAATCCAATGTTGCTAATGAATATTGCGAAAAAGGCTACATTGCCTATTAGCATACAAATATTAATGTATCGTGTCTATATTTCCTGACCTTGATTTTTATGTAGGAAGCTTCGCACTGTCGTAAGCACTTATCACACTGCTTGCAAACACACTTGTTTGTCTGTATGGTGAACGCGTGTCGTTACCACTGTTGACATCACTTAGAGATACATACTCCCAATTCCCCACCTGCCCGTGCTATCTGATTATTTTTAATTGTTACAAAAAATTTGTGCAAAAATTACATACTCTTAGTTAAAGCAAATCTAAGTAGTTACTCGTTTATGAATTGGTATGTTTTCATAATAGACCACGAGGGTGTTCCCTGTAAGCTGGGCGTTCTTTGCTGTTGCGTGTTCTATCACCGCGAAACTTCATTATGTATATTGGCTTATAAGCATTACGCGGCTGCCTTATTGTTGTCGTATTTGCAATTCTGCTAGGCGTCTATAATTCCGTCATTATTTTCGTACGAATAACGATTACTCACGATGGCAGGAGCGTCGTGGAGGCTGTGGCGAAAGATATTTAAGATAAGCAAATGCCTATGGTACTATAAATGCGGCTGATTTCCTATAAGGCAAATCAACATGCCGGATTTTTTTGAGGAACGCAGAGTCGAAAGTGGGTGGCTCTGATTCGTATGTCTAGCCAGAACAGCAGTGGAACTAGGTTAACTAGGTAAATCAACGAGCACTTGAAGCTATATCAGAACGTACTGTTTGCTTTTCTGACTGTTACAAGTAAATAAACTTATTTTTTGTATGTGGTTTATGTGAGCTTCGGTGTTCAGCTTATATCGTTGCAACTTCAATAATTCTATCTCGGATGCTTTCTCAAGACGAGTGCAAATAGAATGTATGAGTAAAATACAGAATATGGTAAAAGTAGGCTAACAATGAACCAAGCAAGAAGGAAAATGATTTCGAGTTACAAAGAATAGTAAGCTTGTAGTTCGAAGAGATTAACTGCAAGCGAATTTTTAATTATAATCTTTAGTTTCTTTTCAACTCTGGATTTGTATCTTCATCTACTATATTAGTTTTGCTACACTTTAGTGTTAAGTAAATCTTATTTATAGTACTTGTATATATAGGGCCTTGCATTCGTTCTGTGGTTTGTCTTTTGATAATGTTATATTGAATCAGCTTGTACGGGCAGCCTTCAAATTTGCCAAATCTTTAAAACAAGGATACGCATACGTGGCATACAACGCGTATCAACTGCATAAATATATTTACCGTTTGCAGGGTTCGCTACATCTTGTACAGAATTCTTCTTCTTGTGCAGGTATTAGTAACCAACAAAGCAGCTAGCTAGATCCGGAACGCCTGAGCTTGCAGCCGATTAAGTAAAATTTTTACGTGGTTCTGTATGTAATAATTTGCAGTCTACATATATTGATATGAAAAAGAATTTTTGAAAGCTCGCGTCTGTCAAGTAACTGTGGGTGGATATGATTATACCTGTCTCTCGCGTTAGGCTCCATGTAAAAGCCTTTTCGAGAAGATTCGGATCTGAAAGCGTTCGCCCTGTCCTAAATTAAACAGAATTTATCAAAGTCAGTTTAGCGGGATCAAGGATTAATTCCAAAACCTCGTATGTAACGAGCGTTCGTGTCGATGCGGTTCGTTATTAACAGCATCGTGGAGTCACCTCTCTAACAGAAACCGCCCTTATTCTTGGTATTTAGTTCACCAATTACAGGTGTTACTGAACTTCGGCACGCAAAACGTGTTTACGCCAGCTTCACTAAGTTATCGTCTCGATTAATAGCATGACAGATTTATGTATTACCGATGTGGATACAGTTTCCTAGTACCAGTAGGGAAACGATGTGTCAAGTTGGTTTTTTTCTGTTATGTCTTTGTGTAGTACGCGGAACAGCAACTGTGGCGGCGCCAACCGGCTTACATCAAGGCGTGATAATTATCCCGTCAAAAAAAGGGGTTCTATGTGTCGAAGATAATCGTCGTCGAGTGCCCTCTGGCACTGTACCGGTTTATGTGGTTAGTATTACATCTGTATGGATACTGGCTATTGCTTGTTTACAACTTCTCAATATTTAACCAAACAATAACGGCATAAAATGGCTCACCTCTCTGACTTCCCCTTATAATGCTATTTACTTCCATGTACGAGAAATATTATGGTTACTAAATAGGGATATATGTAAAGACTGTATTGTAAATATGAAAATACATTAATATTTAATCTGAAAACATGTGATCTATACCGAATTATAAAATACGGCAAAACCTAAAGCTGTCTTCACATTACTAGAACGTATCATAGTAGTGAATCATTTAAATGAACGCTTGTTGTTTTAGAGCAAATTATGCAGATTATTTGTTTTAAATACAAACCAATAAGGATAACTGCAAGGCACATATATAGATAATAAGCCAAGACTCATTTGATTCCATGCTTGTAAAGGCAGCAGTAGATACGCAAACTATATAATCATATGATCTAGTATTGTAACAATGTTGTAACAATATCGACACTGTCCTCAGATGTTGTAAAGATATTAAATGTACAAATAAAAAGCTGTTGCAAAAATGTTGCACAATTAAATTCGCTTTTTATTACAGTAATCTGCGTCCTCTTGCTAGACATGAAAAGAAATAGATGTAGGATGGAAACTCCTTTGTTAAGAGGCTTTTTTTTAACTATCCAGAGATGTTATGCACGCTGTATTATATGGCAGTTTCTAGTGGCAATTCCCTGGATTTACCAGCTTCTACCTCATCGCAAGAGAAAAGTAGAAACATCAATTTCTAAGACACTAATATTGTATATTTATTAATTCTATTACTAAACTATTTTAAGAATAATATCATTATTATGATTATTGCTATGTTGAACAGAAATTCACTGTCTAGCTCAGGGTGATTATTTTTAGCTTCAAAACTGGACAGATCTTCGTGTGTTTCTCGAATCTGCCTCGACTTCGACAAGTCGCAAGAAAAGTCTGCTAATACTCTATAAGACGGATGCAGATTCGGTTGTTTCATTTCTACCGCTTGCGAATGTTCTACGTAAGAGTTTATTAGCAGAATTCGCCTGGCTGTCTTCGGTCGACAAGGGAACTGATATTCTAAGGCTAAACCCTGTATGTAGTGTTTTTGGTACTCAGTAGTAGATATTACCAGGTTCTCATGAGCTCTCTTTAGATGAGACGTTCACGTAATGTTTGCAAATCCACGCTTATTTATCGCATTATATCGAGTTAACATGACATTAACTTGACCATGACATCATCTAAATAGTTAAAGGTCAATTTTATTTTACATGGAAAATGTTCTATTCTATAAACGGCATATTTTCGTTCGTAACCCTTATCGGTTTAAACAGGCATGTTTTTTTTTGCGCGCTCGATACGTTCTCTTGGTAGTTATACCACTTGGTCATGTCTTTGAGATTGTTCAACATAATTCGATTAGTAAATGATACGCTTGTTTGTAAGCGTAGTATCTCTATTTTCAATATAAGTTGGTACTTTCTTGTTCCGCTGTTGTAAGCGTATGGTATACGAAGATATATGAAATTGACAAAAAGAATTTGAACGAAGTCGAGGTTTGAACAACTTTTATATTAAACTGCTGAAATTAAGAAAGATAATGTTCTGCCGTAATTCCAGAGAGCCTACAATACCAAATATTTACAAATAAATACCGCAATTCCTGAGTGCGTAGTCGTGCAGTAGGAGTTGCTTAGCTTTGTTTAGTAGTCATAGATGTGTAAATCATAGCTAGTTCACCATAGTCACCATTTGTTAGGAGTACACTTTAGCCATAATCGAAAAACTAGGACTCATAAAAAAACAACAACAAAATACAATTAATAAAATCATACTTGATCCTACTAAAATAAAGTTTGAAATTAACGTTTCTTGCATTGTATACTAAACGACCTTATGTATTTCGTGTAGTCAAAGCACGACGACATAAGATCGAAAGTTCTTGTCCTAATTAAGCATTAAAATGTGTCTGCGTTTTTTAGATTCGAATATACAATCCGCTACATGGTCCATCATTGGATCTGCTTTCGAAAAACGCAACTCATCCAGAGGGCTTCGTGGAAGTGCAAGTAGTAGCGCAAACGGCTGCGAGCCAGACATTAGCTCTAATGTATTTCTGCGTTATAGCTTTGCTCATCCTTGGTATTGGCAGTGCAAAAATGTACCTCAAAGCCGACCGTAAGTGATTCGATGACTCTGAAGATTCTAATTGAATAAGAATAGTACTCTGGGGCAGAATGTAGGGGCAGTGCAAATACTGACCCGAAAACTTCATCCTTGGAACAAAAAGCAATCTGGGTTGTATTGAGTTGTTAAAGAGCGTAACTACGGTTCCACATCTTGAAAGTGACAAATAGACTATTTGTCCAGAGATAAAGAGCTTATCATGAAGGATCTCATATAACCATAGCAATTTAATACTGAGAACGACTTACGCAAGACTGCATGCTCGCTTTCCGACGGAAAATTATATGTTAATGTTTTTGTGTACTAAGTTTGACCACCAGATTCTGAAAGCATGTTTCAAAAAATATCAAAATATTAAATTGGAAATTATTATAACTTTCTAAGAAAGTTGCAATTTCCAATTTATAGAAGTATAACTCTAGTCAGAAATGGGGCTATGTCAGTGCACCGTGAAAATCATCTTTCTCGTAGGTTGTAATATGTGGAAAAAGCGTGCGTAGCTAGTTAGTTCGACGCAATCGTATGTTTAAGTTCACCCTACAGCGCTTAATTGCACGTCTTTTTAATATTGTCGATTTGTTGCCGGTCTTTACATAGCCCTTATCATAGGAGACCAAAGATTTATATGGCCAAAATCAGCCCAAGTTTATGGTGTATAAAAACCAAAGCTCAAATACTGAATTATTTGATATTTGCACATATATTTCATTATGTATAGATCCAGGACCCCATCTTACTATTCTATCACCTTGATTGAAAAGGGGAAATGAAATGTGTGAATCGAATTCAAACCTGTTCGGTCTCAACCTAGGTTTAGGCTATTTCGTTCCGATGTGGATGTTTTTTTATTTTATTGGTATACACTACTATCGTTAGCCCGCTATAGTTAACTTTATAGTTCGGATGCAATCCTACTTAGTGTCCCGCCTTTTGAAATTTTATCTAAATGCCCGGCTTTCCAAGCAAATAATCAACGCGAAACGGTTAATTTTTTCGGAAAAATTTTCCACCGCTGTTTTCTAGAAAAGACACTGTACTATATCCGATGTCAATATAAGTACAAGGGCTATTGTTAGAGATAAAAATTTGCGCTAACTTCGCAGAACTAGGAAAAAAAAACTGCACGAAATTTACAATGAATTGTCCGACACGAATTGTCCGAGCTAGTCACGGGGCAATAGCTTAAAATTCTTCCTTTTGTTTATATTAGAGGCATCGAGATTCTCTAAACTGTATGCATAAAATTAGTTCTTCTTACACGTGTCGTCAGCAGTGTATTTAATCATCAGATCAAGCCTACACATCGAAAGTATAAAACTATATATATAAAGTTTACAAAAAACTTTATATATATAGTCGTACTTGTTTTCCAAAAGGTAAATCTTGTTGTTGTAGTTTCTGCGGTAGCAGAAGTGGACCTTGGCTCTTTTGTACGAAAAGCCTAAGGTTGCCTATATTTTTTGTCACTTTAATCGAATTGCAGAGTGCCCATACTGCAAAGTTTTCGAAAAACTGTGTTAAATTGTCAGTCACATAAAGACGTCCCAGAAGATGAAAGATATTTTCGCGCTACTTAGACCCATTTCAGCTATAAACACTGTTCGCAATCTTTTTAGCCAATTTCTGGACTAGATGTGTAGTGAACTTTTTATTTTATTAAATATATTATCTTATTAAATCGCCTGGAAGTTGGAAATTCAGAATATATGTAGAAACCGACCTGGAAAAATTGCGCTGATTTTCGTTCGCAAACCTTTCATGCACGATACATGAAAGTACAAAATTTGTATAATGTAATGTACAGACATTTACATTAGTTACAGCACCACCACAATGCCGGTTGATTGTATTGGTGCTGCAAAACGGCCTCTTGTAGCGACAAGAAGTCAATAGGTGCGTCATTGTAACGTCCCACAGGGTAGAAAAAGCTGATATCGGTGGCTAATAGCGATAATTAAGACCACTTAGAATTTTAGTTTTTTTCAATATTGAATTGCAGCAGAACACATTGTAAGTAAATCGTCTGCGGAGGAGCGACCCACTCGCCCATCCGCTCCCATTATTCGACGATACGAACCCCGCCCAACGGAGTGGCAAGCAGTTATGCGTCTCCTACGCCACATCATTCAGGACAGCTCGCCTGGCAAAGATCTAAACTGGGGCTATTTCGATGTACCTAAGTAGATCATAGGTAATATATACCTATGATCTACTTAGGTACTACCTACTGTAAATATATTACAGTACAGTTTGAACAGGCTGAAGGTAAACGGTGACGATGTGTAGGACAATAAATATCTACTTTTCGTTTCAAGCTTTAGATATATAATTGGCCCCGTTCTAGGCTAGTGGCAATCGCTACGGTGGAATATGGAAGCTTTTGATACAGTATGTGCAGCTTAATAGGTCCCGAAACAGCTTTCAGAATGGTAAAATTAATCATTGAAAATAGTGAATGTCTTCAGTGCTAGCAAAGAGTGATGCAAGACTATCTGAAGCGGTTTTTCTTTATGTTTGAAAAAATAATATATGATAATTTTTCGTGTCCAAAACTTTATATTAAGCCATAATTTAATTCCCGGTTTACATTTGCATCAGTAGGATCGTCTAATTGAAACAGTATTAGCCACATAAGGTAAAACGAAATCGGTGAAAAATGGTACCAAGATAGTGGTATCTATACCTTTTTTATCTTTGGCTGCCAACTAAACTGTACACTATAAACCAAATTTGACGTTTGATATTATATAACACAATTACTGAATATATACGGATATGTATTAATAAATACTTCAATTGCGGCAAGGCGAATTTTATTACGTGCAACACCGGCAAGAGGAACGCCAAAGGTCGATGGAAAAGTCAGAAATTATTCGACTTTTGGGCAGATGGGAAGGCGTTATGCTTCATATGAACTTAGGTTACGTCCTAGTAACACTGCAGCAAGTGAGTACCATAGGGAAACGTTAGAACGGAATAGCAGAGTACAATTAAGAAGCCATTCATTTCTTGGAATGGAGTAATCACATACGAACTGCTCACTTTGCCTTATAGATAATATACGTTACACTATGATCTTATTTGATATGATTTGTTGCTGCAGTTATCTAAGGCATAGCAATGACTATGTTTTGCGTCTCGGATAATAGTACAATACTACAACCGGTGCGAGGTGTCTCGTCGTATTATCAACAGTAAATCTACTGACCGCCCTTTTTCATAAATCTAACCCAACCGTGCCCGATCGAAATGACCAATGAAAGTTAGCGTTTTTTTTTCGATGTTGTCTCGATGCCATTAAGTTCAATATGTAACAATATTTACATATGAGCTTCTGAAAAAAGTTCGCAAACGATTAGATCGACCGCTAGTGGTAAGGTTAGTATAAAGCGAAAATCCAGGTTAGTTTGAGGTGAGGCATAGTAACAGGTAGCTTCGGCAGAAATGGGGCCAGTTGAACCGAGCTGAGGTAAAGGTCATTTTTTATGGGTTGAGGCTCACGTTTGGCCCGCAAAAAAATAGTTTACTTTAACGGTACCTAAGAGTGTTGCTCAAACCAAAGCAGAGGAATGAGATAGGCAGAGGACTGCTCATATCTGGTATGCTCGAACTTAAGTTACAGAGCCAATCATCTGCAAGACTATCGTTATTGGTTTTCCTACGCGCATTCAGAAACGTAACTTCAAAAGATTCGAACCCGCGTATTATACGATTGGTCTGCGCGATAGTTAATCTTACATTTGCTTCCTCTCCTTCGGTCGTTTTGTTTTTCTTCATAGATCTGCCTGATGCTGCTGGTGCTGTACTATTTCAATTGGACACTTACAATACTCAACCTCGGCTTTCCTATTTTGTTCATTATGGCGTTTGACGATTTATTGGGACCGTTAATCGTTACTGGTAACATCGGCGTGGTAACAAGCAATTTAGTATTTCGTAACGTATTTCCGTAAAAAAAATTTTGCAAATTATTTTAGCAGATATCATAAAAAAAACGGGGAAGCAAGCAAACGGATCCGAGCAACTTTGCACAATCGTTACTTTCTGCTTACAGTAGTTATCATGATTATTTGATGATTACCGTTGAATACCATTACAAATTAAGGAAGGGATAGACAATACGTCCAATAAAACTAACGACATTTTAACATAGAGAAATAAAATCGTGACTAATTCGTTTTTCGGTTAAAGTCCCTTACATTCCCGGTAATCGAAACGTACCATTACCCTGCATTAGCCGGGGTAATCCAATTCGTCTTCTGTTTCTTGCCGTGCCAGTTACGTCGGCGATTGTCTGGTATATTCACCGAACCAAGTACACCCAAATATGGCTTCTGCATGTACGTATTCTCTTTGAAATAACAGGCTATTATAATTCGCAGTAGTACTTCGTACGCAACAATCATCGTCTTCTCTATTTGCAGCGATTAACGCAATCGAAGAAACGCTTTCTTCGTTCAAGTCAATATATACATATATAGGCTAAAAGGTCCATGAGGATTGTAGCTTGTTTAATAACATTACACAGAACACAAAGGCAACGTTCCTTAGTCAACATGGCGAAATATCGAAATATCGAACCTAATAGATTTCGAGCTCACTATGGAAAGGAGAGTTTCAAGTTATGCTATAAAAATAAGTTTATTATTATGATTTTTGTTTTTATGCGTGAAATTTTTTAGTGCTGTCAAGTAAGTTGGTAGTAAGTTGTCACCATTGACACTTTTGAGCAAAAGTTGTATTCGTGCATGCGGTGTGAGAGTGGTGAAAATAATTCGTTCGGAGGTCATGCGCTAATTGTTGTATCAAGATCTGGTTTTCTCGTACAGCTGGTGGAATTTTCATTCTTGCGTTTACTTTAACTGCAGAACTTCATGGGTTCTACTATGTGTATATGGCTCATAAGTCTCGTTCGACTACCCTCGCTGTCTGTAGCCGTCGTGATTGCCGTACTCCTTGCCCTATATGATTTTTTTATGGTTTACGTGACACCACTATTCACGTACGACGGTAAGAGCGTCATGGAGGCTGTGGCAAGGGGCACTAATGGCGAACAGATGCCGATGGTTCTACAAATGCCACCCTTTACCTATGGAGCAAAGTAAGTTTGACAAAAAAAAAGCCTGTTTTGCCGTTTGAATCAGGTTTAGGCAAGACAAAGATGACCATTCGAGTCTGTAGATAACCAAAAATCAAGATATGAAAGCAAATTTTACCTTTGCACTGCCACGATAATAGCTTATTTGAAGACAACAACACGTTGAACAAACTCGAATAATGTCCCTTAATGATATGTATTTTCAACGTGTGTATATTTAGTGTAACATACAGTGTCTAAATAACGTTCTCCATTAAATTGTGACCGGTTCATGTGTGATCAGATTTATTAAAAGAAAATATTCTAAATATACACTATTGATGGCTTGTATGGAATTAGTTCAATTTAACTCTATGTAATGACGTTCTACATTTAGATACTTGCCTTTTTTGAGTGTACAGCTATCCAGAGTGTACAGGGCCACTTCAGGGCTTTATCGGTATGGGCGATTTTATTATACCCGGTTTTGTTGTAGCCTATTTTGGAGCCTTCGATGCGATGTGTCGCCGAGAACACTGGCTTAAGTTCACCTATTTGGCAATGGCAGCGTATGTTCTCGGCCTCCTCGTGACATACGGCGTCAAGGTAAGCGACTGCATACTACATGCTCATGTCATCTATTGTGAACCCCACACAGGACGCCACATAACACAAGTCTGCAGCTAGTAAAACAAAAATGCATAGTAAGGCAAATTACGGCGAAACACCTGGATCCAGACAAAAAATAACTGCCTCAAATCTGGATGTTCTTCGGTTCTGCTTGCCACTCAATACAGAACTATAACCACTCTCTGAATAAAAATACACCTTACGAAAGTCACCATTCGGGTCAAGATTTGCATGCATGTTTATAAAAAATTAAGCTTTTTTTATTCTGTTTTTTGCTTCGATTTCACGTATTGTCACTGGTGGCCAAGGAAATAATGAATATACCACAACCGGCTCTAGTCTACATAATACCTTCATTATTCATCATACTCATTCCAGCGGCTCTGATCAGTCGGGTTTGGCACGGTCAGTAAGCTACACCTATAGCTCTCATAGTACCAGGAGGATATTGATAAATAATATGTGTTCAGCGAAGATGCTGGTTACACTATTAGTGGAGTATTTTTATGGTTTGGTCAATGAATCATTGCGCGCAAGCGCAGACCACTAATTCGGCCTATATTTTTGCTCGAAATGTATGTTAAGGCCTGCATGTTATATACATTATTATGGTGGGAGTACATAATTTCGATAGAGATGCCCAGTATTAACAAAGGTGGCTAGCTACTAGGTATTCGACAAGCCTTTAGCTTTTGATTGGCTCCATATATACAATACTGTGACCTACGTGAGAATAACTGGGAAGACTTTCGATGTTTAATTTCTGTATGTTTGCGGCACGGCAAAATTGTATTTGACGATAATAAGAAGATTGCATTGTACACATAGGCTACCGGTTTTTGATGGTTCGAAAACATTCTTTTTCATATATGTATTCAGGAGGAGGACATTCAGTTTTATATTGAAATACTTTTACCGAATAATTACAGCTTTAATTCTGAGCCGGGTGCGTTTTGCCTCTTAATTTCAGAAGTCTGGACTGGAGATTTTCTCGGGAACAAAAAAGTTTCAGAAAAAAAAGAATAAAATTTATGCAGTATGATACATGGATTACGGGGCTCTTCTCTTTAAATGCCTTAATAATAATATTTTTATCCTCCTGATTAAAAAATGGGCACGTATCTGGCCTAGTAATAGCTTCATTTAATGAAGCATTACCGTTCTAGCGGCGCAACTTGGCATTTAGCTACGTATATAACTAAAAGCAATAACCTAGTGAGAATATCTCGGAGACCTTTGTATTACTATTCGCAGTCATGTTTTCGATATATGAACTTGACTAATTAGTTTACTGTTTTTATATCCAGCGCATAGGTAATACTACAATCGACATTTTTTCGATTATAGTATTGCCTACGTTCTCGGCCACGTTAACTAACGCCTAACTCGATGTTGTAAAGCAGTATACAGACCTCAACAATTGCAGTCATCATCAAGGACCTTTTCTCATTTATCAAGTAGCTCAAACACCCCCTACTGACGGTACTTGCGACTCATTCGATAAACAGAGCCACCATAGGCTTATTAAGAACCGCTCGTGACAGGTTTTGCATTGAACTAAAAAAAGTGGCAATCTGAAGTTGGGCAAGACAACACCGTAAAGTGAACTGTCTCCGCAAGACTTACGATGATTGTGTTTCCTACGTTTCTGTAAGGTTTGAGATTGAAAATGCATTTTTATCCGGCAGAACCGTTCAACTTAGTTGGATAAACCTTTCTACGGTAATCCTTTCAGGATAATATTAGCACTCTCTCTAGATTTTACAGAGCATGAAGGGTTACTTTTTCGAACATTTTATTATAAACGTTCGTAGGGACTGGAGTAAGTAATTCACCTATCATAGCCGGTACAACTTCAATAATATTTTCAAAATCTTTTCAACCGGTCCAATAAAGTTGGTGAGTTTTAGTTTCGCGCTTATCGTTGCTGCCAAGTCAGTTGGTGGAAAACCCAGTTCCACCCTTTTATGTTTTTTCATGACCCGTTGATAAGTATCCTTGGGCGATGTGATATCAAATCCTGATCGATGGGTTTTATATCGACGTTCCTACAGTACGTACGCGCATGACAAAACATGTGGTGCATCAGACCGAGTTTGTCGACGCTATTTCATATATGGTAATGAATGTAATATATACGAAAGTGAAGTTAAGCTTTATGTAGACCACCACCATTTTTTTGCGTTTAGTAAATACAGGATATAGATATGCTTCATGATCAAAATAGAATTGCTAGCAACAATCCCAATGATAATTTTAATGATGAACCATAATAATCTAATGGAAATAGCCAGTCTGTCCCGACTATGTGTACTAAAAAAGATTGTCTACTTATGTTTATTGAAAAACGCCGCTATCACTAATTAAGCTTGATACTGATTAGAAAAACAACAGTATGGGCGAGATTACTGGCGTCTATAATTCGACCACTGGCAGCCCAGTTGTTGCTTCCAATGCCGCCTCCGGTGTAAAAAGGTCAAGTTTTTAATGTATCCGTTATGGACATGTACATGATTTGAAGAGTTTGCAGGAGCTACATAATGGCAATTGCGTTTATGTCTTTAAAAGGCAGTCACTAATAACACACCAACGTGCAGAAATATATCACATTATAGTACTTAAAGTAAGCCTTAAAACAACATTGGACGAGAAAAGCAAAAGAGGTAACTTTTTTAACCAGAGGTTGCAATAGCGATAATCATTTGAAAATTTTGCTGGCGTTCTCGTTAAAAAAAAATCTATTAGATGCTCGACAAAATTGTTTCACGTAACTGCTTCGTGTGCCGAATAAAGACTGAAATTTTCATTGTTTTTCTTCGCGGTTTAAGGTCTGCATTGTTCATCATTGGCCTATTCTGTGTGAATGTTATCATCGTTCGTCGTTACGTATGATGGTAGAAGTAAACAGTAGCTTAACTGTTGGACCACACATCATGTATCGCGTGGGAGCAACTCGTTGAATGCGTTCTGTATTCTACCCCGTACTTGGAGAGCTAAGCCTAATTAAGCGGTACTGCGCTCTACAAAAGTAGCTTGGTATCTGTTAATAACTAGAGAATCTGAGCATGTTTATGTTAATAATGCGGTATGCATTGGGCGATAGCTCATCGGCTTTGCGCTAAATCCTTTTGGGTACCATAAAAGGATGGCCTCTACAATGTAGTGTTACATTACGTATCCTTCAGATACGTTATTACTAGTTGACAAAACGTATGAAGTTGCCGAAGTGTGATGGTACTGTCGATTAGCGATCGTCTCACGTATTGCATCATGCAGTCGGACGGAGTAGTAAGGGTCTCAAGTATCAAATCCTGTCTTCATTCGGTACTAACTCCGCACAGAAATATAATACTAACAGCTTTATGTATAGTGGCGGTTCCTGGTTTTATCTGATGACGCCAACTCAGGATAACCAAAAGGACAAGCCGTTGCGACGAAGACTATGAAGCTGAGGTGTAAGTATTCATCTATTATGTCGTCATAAGTGCCATTTTCGACAAACACAACGCCCTTGTGTAATTCGGAGAGGCACACTTTTTCAACTTTTAATTTTTTTATTTATATCTTAGTAAAAACACCTTTGGACCCGAATGTTGTGGAACAGTGGTATTTTAAATCGGTGCCAATCGATTTAGAATACCATCTACTGTCATCGCCGGATCTGTTAGAGCTTAGAACGGGATATTCTGGTTCTGAAACCAAGTGTCCGCAAAGGAACAAAACTGATATAATATATATTTTCGTACATCCATTATTATCATGTTGAGCCTCGAAATAGCGTAGAAATGAGGGAAAATACAACAATAAAAAGAATGAATTTAACACCCACTATATTTCAGTCATAATTTGCGGGTTCTTTAGGTCTGCATGAGATGGGAATTATTTATAAAGAATATACTATTATAGAATTTTTAACAGCACTCATTGCATTAACCACACATAGTCGTACAGACATACACCCAACAGACATTACGGTTAAGGGCACAGCTTAAACTCTATGCTAGTGTGTTTTGAAGCATACGTATCAATTTGCTCGGTCTCAACGGTATTCCATAACATACTTACTATACGACTTCACCTTATTCAGTATTAAAACTAATTGGCACAATTAAATATCTACATTTGTCTACTCCGATTCTTTCGCTTGCACTGTACTCAATTATATTATCAATGTATAATCAGTAAGTTTTTCCTCCTGTGAAAATCGCTTTTCCCATTGGCGTACCGGCGCATCCCTTACCTTAGCCGCCCTCGCCCTCGAGTCATCCCTCTCGCTCTCTTTATCTCACAAAGCCGTCGAACCACGACATGAACAAACCGGTCACAAACGCCTACGGCAAAAACTCGTTTTTCAGACAACAAATCTTCAGGCTGGCTGTTCGCCTTTGTTGTTGGTGACTGCAAGAGGCAAATCATGCGGGACAAGGGCGTAGGTGGTCGGCTTTGTGTAACTGTCGAGTGAGGAGGTTCTGTGTCTCTGCTTGACAATCGCGGCCGCTCTTCTGCGTTGTTGCGCCGTCACAGCAAGTCATAAGGGGGCGAGGACAATGTGAGCAGACGGCTCGGTGTTCTCTGTGTACTACTGACTATGTAAGCTGGCTGTTGATGTAGCCGTTATACACAGTGCAACCTGTGAGCTCCTGTGTGGGTCTTTCCCTTTCTTCATGTGGAGGAGGTAGCATTAAGTCTTCCTGGTTACTAGTCGGTAGCTACTGGAATCATTCCAGTTTGGACTCCCACTGGTGCCTCTTTAAGGGGTACTATAAACGCAGAGACATTTGCTGTTGACTGGCGACAATCGACGAACAGCCTGGAACACGCACTGTTTTAGTGTAGTGCCGAAGCATCAACATCGCGATCGTCATCTCTTACGTTTTGTCTCGTTACTCTCTCTGCTCGTTCGTTAGTGAAGGCGAACGTGCACTCGCCTATTTAATTCTTGTATTTATTGTGTATTCTACAGTCAAGAGTAGCGGCGGAGCATTCTGTGTGGCGCGCGCCCTTATGTTCCTCGTGAATCCATGTCCTTGGCTCTGATTCTCTCGGCGGTGATTGCACTGCTCTCGCGTATGGAGGAGCTATGGTACTATAACTACTGATACGAGCGACTGAACGACGTCCAAGCAAAACACAGGTAGATCGCACCAGGATAACGGAAACAATTCGGCTTCTTGTGGTCGAGCCCAGGTGTGCCTGCACTGGGTGATACCTTAGCTGAAATGTGTGCCTTTATGTACGTGATGTGTGTGCTCCTTAAGTTCATGTCGCTGCTGCGGACAAGTTTGTCCTCTTGTAAAGCGACAAAATGTAATTATTGTTCCGTCAGTAAATGATGGCTAGTGCCGATAGACAGCGTGAGAGTTATGTTAAATCTATAGACGCTACTTGATGACCTAGTGAAATAAAACTTAGTGATGATAATGAGAGGTCATCAACAGGGGCATTCCCTTACTCTGCGTGCTCTCCGCTATGCATGTTTTGATAATTATACGCCCATCTACCAGCGCTGATTCTTCTCGCCTAGCCCTATCCTTTAGTTGAGCCGAACACCGTGGTTAAAACAAGGTCTTAACGTCTAATAGACAATGAAAGGGTTTCTATATAAAGAAGTTGATCAGAATCCGTTGTATAGAAATGTTTATACTGCTGCTCCAAAGTAAATTTTCGACCAAACCTGATATAAACTGATCGAGGGGTTTGTTGTAATGCCTTTCAGCAACTAAATATATGACTTTTTTTTTACTGAGCCTCCAATTAATTCTACTGGTATCAGTTGCAACAAAATATCGACTTAAATGAATGTCATAAAATCCCACATAAAAAGCAGGACTTGGATTATTGCTCATTTATTGCGGGAATCGTGCTCGATTGACATCATGAACTCATGCTTACCGATCAGAGATAGTAGCTAAAGCTAGTGGCGAGAGGTTCCCAAAGGAGTAACAAAAACAGGTCACGGCGGTAAACCTAAGCTTTTGTTGTATTGCTGAAGCCCGGGGATTATGGCTGCGTTGCAGTTTGGCCTTGTGATCTATGCTAGGAACATTTGATTAAGGGGTATCGTTAGGCTGCAACGCAATGAAAAAAATTACAGAGGGCACAGATTACGTAATCGTCGAACACAAAAATGCGTCTAAACAGCATAGATTATTCCGATCAGATATATTTTCCTATTAATCGTAAATAAAACATCGTTTTAGCTTTAATACGATTTGTTGATTCGTAAGAAATCAACTATTTGGGTAAACCGTTGCTCAAGCGATGCATACAGTTTTTGTTTATTTAACGGCGCCAATGCCAGCGTAGGAAATTACCATAGGATCGAGTGTATTGCTCAATAGGTAAAACAAAGAAAAGAGAATTATGCGTCCAAAAGCGTGACCGAAGTAAAGACTAGATTTTGTTGTCGCTGGTAGAGTCGTGTATGCCTTTCGATCGACATAACGTTAGAAAAATGGCAAAATTCGAATTGGTCGAGCCTATGGGAGTTGAACTAAAACTTACTACAAGATACTGAAGCCACTTTTATTTCAAAAACTCTGACATCAACCCTACGCTTACGAAGTACCTTTATCTTAAAGGATCTATATTGTCATGTCGATTATGAAGTACGTTAGTAAACATTCTAGCGTCACGATTGTAGCACCGACATTCAACTTGTAATGAGACTCAAATCGCGTATGTACTTTGAATGACAATGTCGCATGAAACAAATATCCTTGCTTGTTAAAAATCCGTAACAGGCAAGCACTTAGTCCTATCTTAAAGAAAAGTATTATTAGTTATTGAAGTTGAATCCCTTTTAGATCGTTTGTCATTCATGTAGTTACTCCTGCCACTGTTGTTATATACGTTGTACTGTTTCTGTACCATTTTAACCTCAACAGCATGGGATCTGATATGCTAGCGTCGCTTTGTTTTACCGTGAGTAGGTGCTAACCGCTCTTATACAATAGTTACGGCTTATTCTTTATTGTATCTTTAAGAAAAGCTGCTCATATTAGCATAAGTGTTTTGCTCCTATATAGAATATCGTCAACCGCCTGTTAACGATGTGCTACATTCTATGAACGCTAGCCGCATAAGTATTGTTTCTAATTTTACTTGCACAGCTCGTTTTTGTGTTAGATAGATAACCAAAAAATGCCGGCTGTTGCTAAAGCAAGGAATTTCTTCCGAGGCGATCAAATGTTGTCCACCGGATCAGTTCCCGCATGAATGAAACCACCCATCAACAAAACATAGACGTATGAATGATGAACTCAGTAAATTAATTATGATTTACTATACTTGTAACGTAATTCTAATCTGTGATATAGCTGCTTTGTGCAGGTAGTCTCCAAGGAGGCCCTTGGTCGCTTACTTAGCACCGACCTAACGGACCATGGGATACTTAACTCAAGTACGATAAGTTTGATCATTCTAGTTTTAAGTTATCGTCGATGTGTTTCAAACTCACATATTGCGTTAGTATCTAACCAGATATCAGGCAGTGAGCCTCTTTCTTAACAAAATGCAAAACAAAACGCTACTGCGCCTGACCACTACGCGCGTAACCGCGAATTATCACCGATCATACCAATTTTAGAGTGATATTCCTTTCAGTAGGTTTTACCTACTTACCTGATTTCGGAATCGGCTCGAGATTTACCCGTTTAACATATTTTTACTCTTACCTGCACAGCAATGCCGTGTGTAGGGTTTAGGATGTATAAGTGACGGCGCAGGACGGCAGCAACCGACACATTCGTATATCACAAATAATAATAGCAGCTTCTGTTGAGAGGAGAGCAATGAGTCTATCAATACTTCCTTTTAACCATTTTAAAGCAGGGTGTGGAGTCCTCTGAAAATCCTGTAATAGTTCCCTCCCTTTCCTCCTAGTCTCTTCGAATCTGGTCCGAAGGCCACGCCAAGCAGGCTCGTTAGGCTATGTATTCTACTAGTGCAATGTCGCGTTCAGTACGTCTAGCTGAGCCAAAGAGAGCTAGTTGCGAAATACGAAGTTCTACGCAAGCTGCTTTGCCGAATATGCGCAAGGGCACGTAGCACAACGTAAGCTAATTCTGTTATACATTTATTTGACAAGCGCCTCTTCCATCAACATAAAAAATATTGTGTCGTAGTGTCTATGAAGACAGTTTACTTCTAAGGCCAGTTCGTTGAAGGTTTATATGTATTACACCCATATTTCGTCAGTGCTAAAGGGGCACACACTCAGGCGAGTAGCGCATACCAGCTAGCACCTGCATGGCAGGAAACGCATCAAGAAATCATTGTGTTAGCGTACAAGTAGTATTCGTTAATACGGCTAGTCTTTTTACGTTGGTAATCTTTGACTTTCAGCAACCACCAACTGAACCGTCTGAAAACTATGGGACAAACTCTTTCGGAACCAGTCACTGTCAAGGAAACGTCATGCTGTGGAAACGAACTGCTCAAGGTCAATATGTTCAATGTAATCATGGTTTTTCGCGGTACAAATTATTCACGTCACATGATAACGGTGAATTAGCTAATGAATCATTCTGATGCGCGACCAACTTTGTACTATGTTATCATGTGAATTTCTAGGTCGACAAATGCTAGGGCCTATTGAAAGTAGCAAAAATCAATCTCGTAGCCAGTGGCTCGAGTTCACATAATGTTACTGACTTTTTCCCTAGTAACACAATGTCGACGCGTTAGCTTGGACGACCAGACTCCAGGCTGAGGAACCCAGGCGTCGCTGCTTCGAGACCCACGAATGACCCGTAATGGCGCGAATAAATAGAATAATAATTTATCATCTGTTCATCTTCTGCTAAACGGATGTAATACACTTCACGAAAATGAACTAGCAGGTTCAGTGTTTTTCTAATCTTCTAATCGGCGTCAAAAATGTACGGTACGTTATTGATCACTGTTACCTTTTTTGGCGGAATGATATAGGTGGGGGCGTCTTGTCTACAGGGATGGCGCATCAACATGGAGGATGCTCACACACATTTACTTAGTCTGCCCGATGATCATGACGCTGCCTTCTTTGCAGTGTATGACGGTCATGGTGGCGCTAAGGTGGCGAAGTACGCAAGCTGTCATGTGCACAGGTCGGTGAAGACACAAAGAAGTAACTAAAGCTTTGTCCAAACTGAATTATTAAAACCTGAAAGGCGATTGTATGTTGAGTCATGTACGCGAGCATTCGTTCGAGTAGTGTAGGGCTTCTCTTCTGGAAAAACAACGATCTTCTATAAGAACAGCTGGCAAAAAGAACGATATAAATGTAATCTGTTCTTTTGTACTTTTCAGGAAAATTGTTTCCCAGCAAGCGTATCAGGAAGGCAATTATGTAAGGGCTATTCAACAGGCCTTTCTCGAGGTTGATCAGGACATGTTAAACGGTACAAGTTGTACACAATTGATACTAAATAACACCAGACTATTCTAAACTGGTGTTATTCTTTATATATATATATATATATATATATATATATATATATATATATATATATATATATATATATTATATAGAGACAAACATTTAGGGTCAGAGTGCACTGCTTCAAAGTATGGGGTCCATTTTCCTCACCTATAGATAAAAAAAATAAAAACGTCTTATTACTATGCCCGTATGTATTATAATGTTCGTTTTTTTTATTACTGCGTACGTCGAAACAATTATTATGAAGAAATCTAAATAAATATCAAGCTTTTGCTTTTTCCTAAGTCTCATCGATGCCATGTCTTTGCTGTGAATCAATATTACATTCTGCAGTACTGTGTTCTATTTCTGAAGCTACAAGGAAAATTAATCCTCGAACTTGCTTATATTATTTAAGCCTCCGCCTTAGCCTAACCTAGTATAATGTGCATAAACGAAGTGCTTATCCTAAGCAGCCACAATGGAGTAGATCTAGGAACTTTCAATATTTATACTATAACGATTCTACAGTATTCATAGCACGTTAATGGTTAATGTTATAGTATTGTAAGTTTATATCTCTCTTCTTGCTTATTCTTTTGCTGCAGATGATGTCATGAAGGAAGAGCTAGCCGGATCGACGGGAGTAGTTGTGTTAATCAAAAGAGGTATGTTTAGTGGGTGCTACTTTCAGCAGTTGACTTGACCCTTTCTATGCTGGTAAGCGACGAACGAAACCACGCACTTGACATGGTTGTTTTACAGATCCTTTCAAACCCCACACTAAGAACCCCACTTTTACGGAATACAAAGATCAACTAAGTTAGTCTCGACCCAGCGGCGTGCGAATGGGTCGAAAGCCACTCTTGAAGCGTCATTCATAATAATTTTTTAATAAACAAAGGACATGCTGAATCCTTAAGCCGTTTAAGTGGACGTTGTGTTGATCAGGATTCGGGCACGTTACCTTGAAGATGCACAGGCCACTGTCAATTGCCGCTGCGTGCCTAGTCATAGAATTTAACTTATTACCTAATATCTATTGCAGATGACCCTAAATCTATGGGAACAATGTACTGTGGAAATGTGGGCGACTCGCGAGCGGTTTGCTGCATAGCGGGACGAACTATGCCTTTATCGTTTGATCATAAACCATCGAACAAAGAAGAGGCTCGGCGGATAAACGCAGCCGGTGGATGGGTCGACTTCAATCGCGTCAATGGTGATTTAAAAAAAAATAATTATATAGCCCGAGTACGTAAAATGTATAGTTGAAACCATGAACAAATCCAATGAAGGAGCTTGATTGACATATCACTTTTATATAAAAGTTGTTTCGGACTGATTGACTCTTCTGCTTTCTTGGTATCGCCTCTCATAGCTTTTGCAGTTTTAAATCGAAGAAATAGTTTCATTAGCGACCTTGGTTAGATGATATTGCACTATACTACACATTACGTTTTCTGTTGTTTAGGTAACCTCGCGCTGTCCAGAGCATTTGGGGATTTTGTTTTTAAGAAAAACGAGAAAAAACCCGCTCACGAGCAAATTGTGACAGCCTTTCCAGATGTAACAGTTGAACCGGTGAGTAGGAACATTATTTCGCATTGTATCGTACTAACGGCCAAACGAAAAAGCAACATATCTTCTATTTATACTAAAGGAGATCAGTATGGGCACGGATACCCACTACTATTTTTTGCTGACAAAAATAGCTCTCTTGACAAGTGTTTTACAAAATTCCCTCAAGGAAGTGTATAATTTTTTTGTTATAATTTGTGACCTGATTTTCGCAGTTAACGCCGGATCACGAATTTGTTGTACTCGCTTGCGATGGAATCTGGGACGTCATGTCAAATGAAGAGGTCATTGAATTTATTCGGGTTCGACTAGCTGAACGAATGGAGCCAGAAATCGTGAGTATCACTATGGACGGCTGCGTGAGGATGTTTTTCTCGGTAACCGTACTATATACGTAACGAAAAAGTCGAAGAGAGACGCTTATGATAGTGCGGTAAACACACGCCAACGTCAAGAACGTATAGTGGAAGCTTCCACTTCAGCTGGTATCATATGAAGAAAGTAATTATATGAGGCAAATGAGTAGTTCGCGATTTTTCGATTGATCGGTGTAAAGCTTATGATGGCATCACGAAATATAGAATTTTATTGTAAAATCTGTATAGGAGTAACCTTACGATGTCTGCTGCAAACGAGTTCCCGAACTAACTTCGCAATTTCAGTTAAACAAACTGAACATAAGAAGCCTTATGTGTCTACGAAGAAATTATATAAATGGAAAAAAAAATGATCCGAGGTCAAATCAGTGCTACTGTCAATTAAGGTTTAAAAACTTTAGAAAGTAATAGTAGCAGAATGATACATAAATATATATGAAAACCTATTGGCTCTGTAACGAGTTGACGACTTGGAAACGAAACTCGTCGCACACTATGAAGATTGTGCTACAAACGGCAATGTCCTTACCCTTTAAAGATTGCGTTCTACAGGTAAAAGTTCAGGAATTCTCGCGCAAACTCGAAATGAAGCACGCTAACGGCGCTACATTTTGTAAAAATAGGGCACAATTGCCGCGGTTTGTTTATTCCTTTAGAGCACTGATTGTAGAATCTGTCTGAATCTTATGTGTCTTATTCTTTACAAAGTCACACAAGAAAGGCTCAGTGGTTTTCAGTCGCATGGACGGAACGGGTATGGCAACGATTTGCCTTCAGGAAATTGTATATTCTTTAAGCCTGATTTTTTATCACTTCAGCTTTACAACAGCTAGCACAATTTTGTTGATAGTACGTATTACCCAAATCACAGTAATCTAGATCCGGTTAGGAAATATGTTTGTTTCATGGGGACCATTAACAGTTGCGTAAAGCAAATAAGTTCTAATGGCCTGCCCTGAGCATCATACGGTCACTTGAGTTCCCTAGAGCAGCTGCTTGTGAATGGAATAAAAGTTTTTATATGTAAATATGCGGTATTTTCGTTTATTTACTGATCCAGTCAGGCAGCAATTCGCTTCATACGAACAGAGAATTTCCGATTGCAAAATAGAATTGCATTGAAAACGAAGGCGCTTCGCATAGTCTGAATTAACGGTATTTAAACGTAATTTTAGTGCATCACGCTCCAAATAGTGACGGTCTAGGCTACTGCGATTTGCTAGAGTTGATCCAAGCTCCTAGATACATTCGATGCTAAAAACCGGTCGTTTCAAGCAGTCGACCTAACGGCAATACCGGATGTAAAATTCGAAACATTTAACTGTGTCAATTAAAGAGAAACTGGGCTGCTTGGATTACCTAATGTCCACCCAGCTACTGCATCAACTTTTTCCGCGCGGACCCCCCAAAACACCGGGGCACAGATACAGACTCCGCCGTTTTAAACCATTCCATAAAAAGCTCACTGAGCTCTAATAGAATGCAGCGTATCTACGATACCGCGTATTCTGTCGTTGTAAATTTCAACCCTAGAACGAGCTCTACAACTCAAGTCCTCTGATTATAGCTCCTCGGGAATCGACTTTCTTTGCCATTTTTTTTATGAACAACATCGGGCCTGTAGCGACAATCTGGTGACAACGTAATCTTGTGAGCTACGTTGATACATCAAAAATGGATTACTATTAGTTAGCTAGCAATCACAAGTTAATTATATGCGCTTTGTTTTTCTGTCACTTACATTGCAAATGATCGTTTTTTCTTTATTATATGGAATCTAATTTGCAGATTTGCGAAGAACTAATGACCCGCTGCTTAGCACCAGATGCTTCGATGGGAGGCCTTGGATGCGATAATATGACTGTGGTGCTCGTGTGTTTCCTCAACGGGCGAAGCTTTGACCATTTGTCCGCTAAGTGTTCTAGACCAATACAAGAGCAAGTTGATTATCCACGTACGATCGGCTTGCCAACACATAAAACCTCCCCACAGGGCACTACACCCGCCGGAATTGTCCAGCAGAACGCAACAGTTCCTGGCTCTGCTGCTGGTGCTGGGGTGCCTGTCCCGCATGTTGTTCCCCCGGTAGCGCTCGGTAACAACGATTCCGTGCCTAATAGCCCAATCTCGGAGGAGATTGTCGAGTATCCTGGCTACGCTGAGAGTGCCCACTATGCCGAAAGTGTGTACACGTTTGAATCCGAACAGGTCGTACTTGTTCCACCACTGGCAGTGCCCTCAACATCGGCCCAGACGCAAACCGGTGACAGTCGAGCATCAAGTCGTCCAGACGAACTTAAGTCACCTGCGGAACGACCACTGACAGACATGAATGAAGCGCCGAGTGAGACCGAACGATCTGCTGCTTAGAAAAGGGCTAAATTTTCGAAGAACGGAACCTTCTTCGTATCCTCATAATAATCGTTGAATAACTATGTTACACTGATACATTTCGCAAAAGCGAGCATTGTTAGCAAGCAGTACGAATCTCTTTCAGAATGGAATGGCCGTAATGATGGAAGAGTTTATAAATATGGAATTGAGTGAACCGGACAGGCGCGGTCGTTTCAACAAATAGTGCTAGTCATATATAGAACTTCGGCGCAAAATTCGGTGCAGAAGGAAGTTATTCGGAGTCGCGCTACGTGAAAAGAGGTCAAATCAGTGATGAAAGCATCCAACGGTGCCACGTGATTGCTACATATATTATTATTATTATCATCATCATCATCAGTTCAGAAGCTCAGTAAAAAAGTGCGCTTTCTAGACATTAACAAAAACCAGTAGTATAAAAAACGGCAGAGTCAACGGGTCATAAATTAGAGGCGCTTGTGACTAAAGCAATGCATTATTTATAACGAGAATAAAATCATGGCGTAAGATAAACGGCGGGCGGGGGGGGACAAAGCAGTTTTGTTAAGTTCGCTTCCTTCTGCTGGTATAAAGTATGTTAAAGAGGTCGGCTTCGACAAATGTGAAGTCGCTAGTGAAGAATGGCCTGGTGCTTCGGAGATGAATGCAACGGTAAATTGATATTAGACACCAATATCTCGATTATGCACATGGGTGGGATCATTTCGTCTGCGAAGTTCGTTACTCGTTGAGAACTGACAAACCCTAACAACGTGAACGGAAATCGCAATGAGGTCAGTCAACAAACCAGAAGACTGAAGCGAAGAAGAACTGAAAAGAGCAAGGAGAGAGTCCCAAAGTGAATACGCTGTTTTTACGTAAACTAGTCAAAAAAGGACAAATGGAACTATAAACTAGCAGAACAAATAAGTCATTCCATATACACAAATAATGTAGGTACTTTATGCAACAATTAATATTATTATTAGTGATACTTATATATAATCACTACTCCAAGCAATGCCGGAAGATACTAATGGTTACTGTAGCCGAAGCGAGTACTGGACGACATGTTAAGCGAGCATAGAAGCTGAAAAACGGGGTAAACGTGGTTACTATTACTACAAACAAAGAAGGTGACCAGTTTCGCTTTTTGTGGGAAAATAAATGGTTTTCGTCATGTCTGCTTTATGTATTATAAATAATGATACGAGAAAACAAAGCGATGAACTTAACGCAAATAAAAAGAGGTTTTATCGAAAAAAAATGCGTGACTTATGGTAACTTGTGGTAACTAGATATATTATAAGTGAACATGTTTAATTCTGAGAACAAGAAGTGCAGACATTCTGTATATATCGATTGTTTTATGATTCTTTCAGGTGGCATCCTCAAAAACGACCGCTTGCATTCCAAATTGCATATTATGGAATTAGTAGGTATTGTGCAAAGGAAAGCTTCAACGCTGCCGTTACGAAAAAGTTGCGTGCGTCCCCAGTTACGAATGCTACACTAACTAAATTGTAGAATAGCGCTTCATCCGTTTCAAGATCTCTTAATATTACGAATCCATCAAGTTCCACCAATCCTTATCATAGCGATTGCTAACAATAATTTGTTGTGAGCCGTATGAACCGCTGACTGCTGTTATCTGCTTAAGTTACAAGTAGTACGAATCTATCAGTAACAGCGTGCAAAACATTCTTGATCTTTACCTATTCATCCTACCCTAACCTATATAATCCTAGTGAAAATCTTTTTTATGGAGCTGTTTTGCATTCTTTCATGCCTCAGTTTCATTACCCTGGTGTAGATTGATTAATGTGACGGCTATTGGATATGTCTAGAAATCTAACTTGGTTTTGTCAAGATCTTTAAAGATAGCTTTACGGGAAAGTTTTTAGAATTTCTTGAAGGCGGCTTTCTAAGTTTTTGCCTTGTTTTTTTTTTTTGTAAATTTGCTAGCTTTGCATTTTTGTAAATAAATAATATTACGACTTTCAGCGCTTTCTGTTCCTATTTTGCTCGAAGTCATATTTGATACCCAGTTTCATACTGAATTTACCTACTCTAGTAATGTATACGATTTAATGCATAGAGTCAATGAAATGCCTATAAGGAGCGTTAACAAGTAATATTTGTTTTTTCGTTGATTACCAGCGCTGGTTACATCGGGAAGAAAACAACCATCTCTACTAAAAGTAATCTTCGTGGCTTTCCAGAGTCTTCACCTGTCATTTGGGAAACAATTTAAGTACTCGACCAAAGGCGGACGCGTCCATAGAGGTGATCAATACAACCATGTACTTTTAAACTCTTGCTTTTCTTTTAAATCGTTTGCCCTTCAGATCGTCCTGCACGGTCTGAACAAGTGATTATTTGATGCACAGGGTCTAAATTAAGAACAGTGTAGCAAAAATTTACTATCCTGGGTCAGTCGGTGCGAGATACTATTGTTTAACTGAAAAAGAGTTTTTGTAGGGTCTACTATACAAAACACGCAACAACATAATTTAACGTTGTATTTGTTTGTTCGGGGCTTTTGTACTGCGCGCCGAAGTAAGTCGCTTCTTGCATTCACTGTTAATAAGGTCAATATTAAGACCAAGTTTGTCTCGGTTGGCCCGATCTTTATGCAGTGATCATACAGATAGCCGTTATTAACGAAAATATTAACAGGGCAGCAGTTACGCGCTCCGTGTTCGTATATAGATGTACACATTAGACAGATTGTGTAAGGCACTCATAGAAACAAAAGTATCACAGCCAGCAAGAGCGAGAGAGAAAGAACACTTCGTGTCATATAAGTTTTGTTAAATTCATAAAACTGGCCCAAGAGATGACGACCAAAATCGCGTCAAGAAAATTTCGCAAAAGATATATATATATATATATATATAAATTGAATTACATAATGATTGTCCACGAATGTATTCATTTAGCTATGATTTGTAAGTGTACTCAAGAGTGATTTTTTCTGGCTCGAACAAGATACGCCTATTATGCAAAAAATAAGGGGAATAACATCTTTTCAGTTACCTACTCCCGCTAGCCTACAAGAGTTCTTGAGCTGACCAGCACGAGAAGAAGGTGATTGTCTACAAGTATCTTAAGGTTCTTAAGAGTGTTTAATCACTAGATGCTCAAAAATGAAAGCTGCCTCTCGTTTTAGCAACTTCTGGTTCTAATTGAAGCTCACCTATGGAATGACAATGGAAGAGATCCCACTGCGATAATGATCAAGACATTGAAGGCTTTTGTCGCCAGGCTAGCTCACACATGGGTTTACTTGAGAAGCCATTGCTAAGCCTATACCAGGTGCTCTGTGGGTAATGCGAGAAAGATGGGCGTTTGGGCGCGATGATAATGTGATAAACTAACCTATACATCTCTCAACGGTCCCGACAATTTCAACGTCAGGCTTCGTTGTGGTCATCTTCATGGGTGCAAAGATCGCGGATCTTATTGCTTGGAATACCGCAGATATAATCTCCCAAGATAATGGTTTCTTAGACATCCGAAATCGATAGAAACGTTGTTTCTCACAAGCAATTAATTTCTGCTGGGGTAACGCGTTCAAATGGGAAGGAGAACAGCAGGCCTGAAATAGGCCAGGATAGTTTCAATGAAGTGTGTTCACTTACGTCGATATACATTACGAGTACATTGACAGAGAACCACCCCTGACATAGCATGATACCAACTTATAATTGCTCTATCCATAGTTCTATCCAGTATGTACGCTACACTATATTTTACGCTGTACATAAATTATATAAGGAATTAAATGGCATATATGTGTGTACATGTGCTCGAATAAATACACAATAAAATATCTTTGAACATTTAAACGGAAAATTGTTTTATTTTCTGGAAAACGTCCACCACCTACCAATCAGTTTATGCAATCCCCTATGAACTTGTCGCTTTCTGGGCTTTTAACTATTCTCGGCTATCCTCACTCTTTCCATAATCCGCATATTATTTTATTATTATTATTATTTATATGTTTATGTACAGAGAAATCTGGGTGAATGTCGCGAATTTCGTATTCGACCATTAACTAGCTAAGTGTTGCACTCAGCCATCTGTATACCAGTAATACTGCTACAAATGCTTCATTTCTTAGTAAAAGATAGTGCCGACAGCTGTCGGCATCCTTTCGAACTGGCTTTTTCTTCTCTTTCTGCCACTCCTTTAGTGGTTTTTCAATTTTCAGTTATGTTAGTTAGTTGTATCTCACATTCATGCTTGGCTGATATATATTTATGTCTGTAATCTTTATCTATTGTCTTTGCACCGTTGTAGATAGGTCTGTATATGTGTGTGTGTGTGTGTATGGATACGTACGAAATAGTATTTTATTCTCTCCTTTTGTTGTTAGTAGAAAATGAAAACAATGTAAAAAGGGACTGGCCATACGCGACAATGGATAATATGGATTCCGCTACCACCATTACTATCATCATCAAGGATTAAATGTCGTTGGTTAAATAGTTAATTATAATTATAGGAATAATAAATCATATTGTTATTATTGGTTTTTTTTGTGTTAGTCATAAAATAATAGCGTGACCGAATATTTTGTGCTGCGCAGTCCTTCTACGGGTCGGCGCAGGCAAAAAATGCCTAACGCACTTTCCAATATGGGACCCTAATTCGCTAGAGGTTGTAGATGCACAAGATATAACACGACGAGGTGTCAGATCGGAGACCAGTTGTATATGTATATACATGTTATAGTTAAAACAATACAGTCTCTCAGGGGCTTTTTCTTATATGTTTTTTACATCTCAGTTCTCATAGGGGGTTGGGATTATTTCGATTCAAAGCCACAAATAAAAACAAATAAATCCAAATTAAACGCTACCAGTATTACATCAATGGTAAGTTGTCTTCTTTTCGGATTCTGCGATGTATCAACTATTTCATCAATCAACTATATGCTAATGCTGAATCTATCAAGTCTTCACGACTAATCAATTACTATCATTCATAACGATTATAATAGTGAAATCGAGGATATATAAACAAGAATATTCGGCCACTGATGTTGTACTGTGTATTGTGAGGTTAAATAAGTTTCTATAAAAAAAAAATAAATAAAAAATTCCTATGCCTTTCTGGCCACTCAGCCGAGGGTTCCAACAATTACGTGCGTGACGTCATCCACGACCTATTGTTATTAAGTAATCAGCGTACTCCTGCCTTATGTATGAGAAGGCGCCCTCCGCCCAAAACCACGAAGCAATACAACGGAGAAGGTTAAAAGCATTAGATGCGTTGCTATTGATCCCGATTCTACCGACGTTTCGTTTCGTACCTGTCTACTTTTCTCGCTTTCGCAATTTATTTGGTGGTTCTCCTCTGAACCAAATGTGGTCACCCGCGTAATGTTTTATAACTGCGTTGCTCGTCAAGTCATCCCTGGCTACCCTTGTCATCGTAACATGGTCCCAGTACGAACTGATATGTTGGTTTTCGTCTTTCTATGCTAAGATGCTAAAAGGACTCCGGAGCGCCTGGACCATGCAGATGAGGGCAGTTGCAAAATGTCGATTTCACCGTAAAACCGCATTTGTTGTTTAGCAAAGTCCGGTCATTTCCGAGCAAGGTATAACAGAACAGAATGCCTTCCATGCTCCGACCACGAGCACCGCGTTGGTTACATAATTGATATATTTCATTCGGTTGAGATGGCGTTTGGCCTGGTCAAGGTTACCTATATCCTCCTTGAGTATGAACTGGCGAATGCCAAGGCAATAGTTGTGGACGTAGCTGGCCCAGTCAATGGTGTATACGTTGAAGTTGAACTCTTTCTGGTCGGTCTCGCTAAGATCATTGAAGAGCTGTCGTGTGTTATCATTATGGAAGCGCCATTCGTTTGTGGCAAAAAATTCAAGCAGCCCCATCGAGTTCGCTAGCCGCTCGTACAGACGCGACAGGACGGGTTTTTTGCCAGCACATCGTAAAATAGCATCTATCATGTGAGCGGGCACGTAATGTTCAAGAAATAGGCGAGCTTGGTGTAGAAGCTTGTTGGAGGTGATTCTCGGGTGTGGGTACCGCACAATTGAGGTTGTCGGATATTGATGAGGAAAATCAATTGACTGTTCCATAAATTCACGCCTAAAAAAAAACAACGCAAATATGAATTGTCGTTGCTCCCTATAGGGGTTAGTGTTTGTGTTCCTGCCTAGTGGTTGCTTTGATAAATAGAAAAAAAAGCCGAATTGTGACCATTCTGCCTTACATCATGCTAAGAAAATCTTGTAGTACGATATTGATAACAAACTCCGAGACTATAACGTTTTGCCCAGCTATGTCATAGCCTGGCATTAAGTACTGACCACTTGATTGCGTTTTGGGTTCCCGATGTGCAGTTGTACACCCGGAAACCGTTCGAGGTACGGTGCGCAGCCGCCAACACAGTATTAGCTACGAAGTCAACTGGTATCAAGTCAGCCACGCAATCCAATTGTGTATATAGTGTCGTTAGAACACCTGTTCCCAGAGCGATCAAAAGCCCATTTGGTCCATTATAGTTATCCACCCAGCCTGGGAAGGGTTCGGTAGCGGCACCTAAGTAAGTCGCACATAAAATGATTAGGCTAAGGTTAAATTGCAGAAGATGGTCCGCCATTGTTTTCTAACTAAAACACTTTTTCGATACTTCTTTGTTTTCTCTTAAAACTTATTGGCGTCAATCCTCTGTAAGTTATCTCTGAATTTAGGTAAGGTCTACTGATTAGCACTTGGTGACTATTCCTGCAGAAAGTCTTGGTCTTAACAAGCGATTAACATGAACACTTCATATAAACGCCATCTGAAAATAACTCCAACAATTGTTTTTTTTCATAAAATGGTATCCGTTAGGATGCTTTGATACAGATACATCTACATATATATACATAGACTTAAATGTTTCCTGGTGATGAATCAGCTGTCAGACTCAACGTTTAGTTCCTGAGATGTTATGCCCTAGTTATCACAAGAAGCCCCAAAAAGCCTGAAAGCCATTCCATCATATTAAAAGAACTAACATACAAATACGTTAACATAAAATAAAAGAACACTGCGAGAGAATCTTTTCGTGGGATCGGCGGGAAGGTAAATCCAGTATTGATTCACATAAGTAAACAGAACCGATTGGTGGCGTACAGCGTGAGCACGGAACATCGCCGAGACACAGCTCGCGGCATTCCCATTTTCCGTTCCATGTGTTTACGCCTGAACTTTGCTTTGGAATAGGAACAAATCAAATGCAATGGTCTTTTCTCTACGGGGCTGAAGATGGACAATGTTATCGCGAATTACGTTAGAGCCAGGTGTACATACCACGCTTATTACTTGGAAAGTTCTTGAAACAAAAACACATTCAGAAAGAACACTTGGCAGCAGGGACGGCAAGTTCGGATCGCTCATGCGGAGCAATGTTCAATGAGCGTTCTATAACCATCACTCGCTGTGGAACCCCAGCTGACTGAAGGTCAAGGGTTGGTTTGGCCACCTTTGCTCAGAACAGTTAACCCGCGGGTAGACATAACGACGGAGAGCGATAAAAAACGTTGCTATTATGACACATTTGCTCGTTCGAATTAATTATAGAAACTAAAAGCATCATACAAAAAAGTAGAATAAAACAGCCATGAACGGGAGCTGATATTTGCAAGTGCGCCTATATACGTTAGCCTCCGAGACAAGGAACAGACAAGGATGAAATGGCAGTATAAAGGTGCGCGTAGGTGTTCTGGGGTCAATATGTCGGATAGACGAAGTCTGTAACATATTTAGTTTGAGCGCAATGAGTTATTTAAAAATGCATCTTCTCCCCCGGGATAAAATACCTGGCTGGTAAATATTGTCGAAGATCACATTTTCGATGTCTTCCTTTCGAAAAGGCTAATATAGTTCTTCATCTAGCAGGTACTATGCGTATATGCAGAAAGTGGAACAGTGACTCTTAGTTTCGGCAAAACTTGGCTTATATTAAAGTCAAGTTTCATATCTTACTATAGTTTATGTAACAATCTGAAAGCTATATTGACAGCAAGACAAAGTACTGAATGGATGCAACAAGAATTAAAACAAGGGCTTGCTCCGCGCCCATGGAAATTTCAGGTCAGATCAGTCCGGGCTATTCAGATTATTAAATATATTTAAAATATGTTAGTAAACATAATGCAGACATGGGCTTTCCGATTTAAGATGATTACGTAGATAGACAACAGCATAGATCGATTGCGACGTTTAAATCGGTTAAGTTTGTAGCACTTACTTTTTTAGTAAAGGCGATTTATTTGCAGCAACGTTTCTAGTGACAGAACTCTCTTTTGCAAGGTTCATATAGATGCGATAATTACTCTACATATGCTAGGCAAAAAAAGGATTAAAGCGAAAGATCGTGAATAATCAGACCTGTTATAATCGATGGACGAACGATAGCGACAGGTATCTTATCCGAATACTCGGCTACAAGGTTTTCGGCAAGAGCTTTTGTGAAAGTGTACGTATTTGGTCGTTCCTTTAGCAATTTAGGACAAAGGTGCTCAAGAAGATCGTCAGCCATCCAATCACACAACGACATCACTTGTCGCGGCTCAACCTGCAACGAGCAAACACAATAGTAGACAGCACAAAGATTTTATGCTACCTACAACTTGTTTAAGTTGGCTTTACTTTTCGCGGAACTTTACTGTCTGTTCGAGCAAAACAGTTTCAGGTTCTAGGTCTAAAACCTAAAGGTTGCTAAATTTGTACGACTTTGATTTCGTCGAGAGCCTAAATATATCTTGATGCGCTGACAGTAACTAGCGGAGCAGTCTCCGATTAGAAGGAACACAGCCATGCAAGGTAATCGCTCCGTACTCATGAAGTCCACCCGTAATACGATCACTAGGGAAAATCCTTATTCAGCGCTCTCGACGATGCCAGTTCAGACGCGAGTGAGTTAGGGGTCAAGGCCGAGATTAAATGGTACCCGCCGTATTGATTGCTCCTTTTACCGCTATTATATGATGTCTGTGATCATTCTTGATGCCGCTTGCGGTAGGGCTAGAAGCTATTTTATGAGGTCATTCGGGCTCTAATTAGATATCTGATATTTCTGAGATTTGGCTCCTTGTGATTTTCTCCTTTTGGGAAACAAGCCTAGAAATGGCAGAGTTGTTTATCTAGATGTTTATATGCGTAACTATTGCGATTACTTATGTATCCCGTTTGACTCCTGCTTACTACAAACCAACATGCAAGTGTATAAATACCTAACACGTTTTACTTACATCACAGGGGTAAACCTTTTCGTCGACCTCGCACATATGACAGTTTGAGTACGCCGTCGAAACATGCACGAAAGACTTCAAATTCTTCACTGTCGTAGCGAATTCGAGCACCTTAAATGTAGCGCGTAAGTTCATTTCGACGCTGTTACGCAGCGGTTCGGAAAATCGAACCTGGAGGATTCACAGATGACAGACATCCAACAAAGTCAACGAACAATTACAGACATTTTGTGCCATTATTCACTGGATAATTATTCTTTCCCTTTAATATATAGAAAGAGAGGGAAAGGCAGAGAGAGAGAGCTTTTGCTAAAAGAAGCCAGAAGCTCGTGGAATATAATATAGTGTATATATATAGAATATAGTGGGGTGGCTATGTTCTTCCAAAATGTCTATTCATCATACAGAGGTATTAAGTGTCTATCCTAAATCTCAGTTGCTTGCAAACAACATTAAAGCAATCTTAAATGATATTCGAATCGGATCCACCCACCGTGGGCTGGTGACCGCGTTGGGTGGGTCCGCTCTTGTTACGTTATGTCAACATTGTTATTCATTAGAAGAACGTATTGGCAAAACACGTTTCTCTCTTCCGATAGGAATGGTGACTACGCCGACTTATTTGAGGATATCACGCCACAAACCAGTTGATCAAGATCTGGTGACTTTCATATTTTATCTGATGTGCTATGCAATATAGGTGGCAATTCGGGTTTCTAGCGTGACCATCACGCTAATTACTATACCCATCCATGCTGGACATTCCTCCAATAGGTGATAGTACAGAACGTCTTCAGAGCATGTTCGACGGTAGACTTGAATCTTTAATTCGACTATATTTATTAAGAAATGGATTTTATATTCTAAACTTGCTAAACTAAAATTGCTCGATTCTTTACGTCATCATGATTTTGCACGAGGTAGCTTAAACCACCCCTCAGCGGTCTCGTCAATTATTACTAGTATAAAAATTGTCTAGACAATCGAATAAACAGAATACAACTTCAGGCGAAGCAAGGTGTTCGTTGGGAACCCACTCTTCTGTGGATCTATATAAGCTGTTTCCAGCTCTCCACAGCCTGAACAATGGGAGCGGCTCTTCAGTGACAAAACTGCCACTTCTGTTCTCTGTTGTAGTCGACATAGTCAGAACGACGACGAGACAGTTCATTGTGTGGTATTGTAAAAACGCGATATCGATAACGAGACAAGTTTCGCAACTTCCTGCTTTTCCAGCATTACTTCTCCTAACGAAGAATGAAGCTCGAGTGATAATTGCCCTTCCCGAGTTTTATCCTCTGATTTTTTCATCGGTTGTCAACTTGTGTAACACGTTCATGTGATCTTAGATGCTCCTTATTTTTACCATTGTAACCCGTACGCCGGTCAAGTTACGTTAGTGATTCGTGATGGTAATTAATGCTAAATTAGGAAAATTGAATGCGGGGCCTGCTGATAGTAAACAAATTGACTTCACTCGTGCGCGCTTTTTCTATAGAGAACTCGTATTTCTATTCGCTCATAGAGTAGTCAATATAGAGAAGCAGATGCGGGTTGATGGCGTTGGAAACTATACACTTCCCTCCGTTCGCTGTTGTTGCGTATACATGTGTAACGACGGAGCAGTCAGTGATTCTGGACGGTTGCTATAGCCCGTGACACAGCAGTTCGCGCCACACTGACGCTAAATGCGTTACAGTCAGTGTCGTCAAACGTAGAAGCAAATAAGAGCGTTACGTAATAACTTAAAACCAGCGACAGTCAATTCGTTAACTTGACAACAACGACTGTCTGTGTGCTGAGACGAACCGGGTTATTTTTGTCATCAGTTTAATCCTTGTTCTTTTCCGACTTTTCATCCAACAAACATCGATTTGTTACCAATCGAGAATTAAGATACGGAATCATTCGGGCAGTAAGTTATATATATCTTCATAGGATTTAGCATTTGAATCATCACTGCAAAGTAATGATTCCTTTTGTTTTTTTTTTTTTATTAGCCAGATAATTTATCGAGACCCTGTGCCAAAGGCAATGACCTTTCACCGATGTGTCGTTGACACTTGCTTTGAACCGACTCGACACAGGTATAAGGTTGAAATTGATTCCATTTACCGAATAGATAGAACCTATATAAATATATGCTATTGGTTTTACTTCCTAAAGCGCTATTTTTATTTACGCTGTTATATAAACAATTTGTTTTCGGGAAGGAAGATGAAAAACGTTTAGTTTTCTTTAGCCATCTATGAGTCAGCATTAATATGGGTCGCAAAACTGCTGGCCAACATAGTAACGTACTAAATCGCTTTCAGTTACGAACAAACAAAAAACTACGAAAATCTTACAAAGTAGCTGTACGCTTTTAATAATTCTTTAGGAGATGTGCTTTTTACGTAATTATCAAATGCGGATAGGACTATGAATAGAAAATTGATTAGATAGACATTGGGTAATGGGACGTGGGACATGGTAAATTGTCATGTACGCCAATAGCCTTACTCACCGATGCGGCAGAGTGTATTACGATGTTAATCTTCTCGCGGAGCATTTCCAGGTCTTCATTACGGAGTATTATCTCGTTCTTCAGTAGATCACCCGAAACGAATTTTACCTACATGGTTAGAAGCCATCATTACGGTTACGAAGGATTTACAAGCAAATCATAACTTTTCCACATGTCTTTCTATCACATAGGCATAGCATCTGTTTACAAACGAAGCAAAACAGTAACTCTTATCTACAGCTGTCTTTCCTCTCTCTGTTACCTTATTGAAGCACAAAGGATCGTTCTGCTGCAGGTGTTCAAAGAGTTTTTCTGCCAAAATTGAATGCAATCGTTCTGGGGCAGGAGTGCCTTTCTTCTCACGAATCAACACATAAATGGCCTTGACATTGGGGCAGGAACGCAGCAGTTTTTCCACAAGAACCTATCGCAGACAGAAAAAGCTTATAATTTATTTATTATTAATTAGCACACGGTGTTGTTGTTTCCGGTTTACTTTTCAATGTTTACACTAACGGTTTTTCGTTCGGATAACGAACATTCAATGAGGAATTTTTCGCCGTCGTTGAGAATATCACCTACATAAAGACTGTGCGTAGAAACCGCGTTCTTCAGAACTACAACATGAGCTCTGTGATATGGTCTATCGAGTAACATATTCGGTTGCAGTTGCTTCTTATTATTAAAATTGAGCTCTGCTACCGTGTTAAAACGAGAACTTTGTTTACTTTTAGGTGATATTTCTTTTTTCCCAAAAAATACTTTTTGCATTAGCATCTGTGCGACACCGTAGCGTTCGGTATACATAGCTTCAGACCGCTACCAAAATCGACACTTCCTAGAGAATTTAAAAAATCAGACTCTACATAAAAACGACCATCGTCTTACAACAAACTAATTGAAAAACTTGCCAGCCCTCTTGCCACTTTGCCACCGTTAGTTCAAATGTGAAGCACTGCTTTATGCGTTGAACTTATTCAACGCTTTGCAAATTAACACTATTGGTGTATATAGAAGTGCGTCTATATAATGTAATTGTTCAGAAAAAAATTATTCTAAACGCACGTTATATATATATATATATATACACTCGTGTAGTACTTGCATTTCTTCCTTAGCCCAGGGAGATTTCCTAGCAAGTTTTTAAACACGTAGGAATCGTGAACAGTACGCTTTTATTTATCTCATCGTTTTCTATATAATCAAAACGTAACCCGTAACTTGGGTTGTGCATATGCCACATCTTCGGCATTGTAGAGTAGATGCAGATACTAGGTAGGGCTTTTGAATGACTAAGTAATCAGTGACTGTCAGAAACCTTGTGAACTGAAAAAAACCATGAGCATTTAATACTAGTTTAATACATTCCCAGTGTTTACATATAATTAGCCTTCTTAACGCAGGCCTGTTACCTACCGATATGACGGCCAAATATTATAGTACATAGTAACTTTATAAACATAATAACTTTTCTCCAACAATAACTTTTCTTATTTTCAGGGGTTCGGCTGAAGGAAATAACGTAAATTATTCTTCTTGTTTAAAGGACAGAAAAACAAATTACTGAGTACTTGAGTTCTGCCGGGAAATTTTGTTTCAGCTATATTGCAATAAAACGACAGATCCATTTGAACTAAAGCAAAGGTGAGGCAAAGGTGATAAGCAAAGCTGATTTTAGCACAAGATACTCGAAATCGACATTGAAGAACTGGCAAGCTCTGTAAAGATTCAATGTACAGTTATCCATTTACCAAAGCGGTCGGGATTAGTAAGTAGAAAAAAATAATACATTTTAAACTACCTTCCCAAGAAAACCGGATATCCCTGTAAGGAAGACACTCTGTCCAGCGAAGAACCCTGCGATCGAGGCCATCCCAACGTTAGAAGATGGCGTTGGATCGGGAGTGGCTGAAGAACTCCGTCGTTCTTCCACTCCTCTTCCAAGTTGCTATCCTCTTGAATCGTCCTGCTAAGCAGAAATGGATCTACTGTTTAGGTACAAGACAAATAAAACAGTATAATCCATGTTTAATAAGAACAATTGGAATCAAACATGGGACCTGATGAAAAATACTAAGTCTAGTTGTCACCAGGCCTTTTAGAAAACCATAAGCTATTGAGAAAGGCTTCACTGCCACAATTCAAAACAGGTTTTTTGTCGAGGCTCCGTCTATCTATTATGTTTAACTGTCACTCTATCTGTGGAATAGCCTTGCGTCTCTGATGCTATCCTTCGAAGTATAGTTCACACAGCTTTGCTTAATACGTCAATATTGTATCATGTCTAGCAATAATAGAACTATAGTTTCGTACAGCTCTTCAAATAATCTGCGTTCTTGCGTCGGATCCTCTAGAAGAACGGTGTCTTCTAGATTTGAATTTTCGGCTTATTGCCGCCACATAGCAGTGGAAAATGCAAAGGTCTATGGTCATTCAGTGCAACAAATGATAGTAGATAATAAACACGAGCTTTGTCCGTATCCCTCAAGCCTATTCGGTCTTCGTCTTCTTCTGTTTTTCGGACCCCACGAACCACTGGATTTGTCACAGTTTTCAGGCACGCCGTTTATTTGGTAGTCTTTCAGTGTAGTCAATCAAGCAACATGTCCGAGGCGACCTGCCAGGCTAAGCGACAACTAGTACTAATGGACAATATGCTGTTTTCTGGGAACCAGTGTCGGACATCAACGTTTAGAAAAACTAATTTATCGTAATCCATCGCGACGGATTCGTTCCTACTTGACATTTAAAGCCAACAGAAACAACGACAGCAACTACGAACAGAATATCTTTTTATTTCGTTGTTCAAAGCAGAAAGGTACCATGATCAGACGGGGTCGCGCGGTTAAATGATAAGCGCCTGCCTATGTGAGAAGGTCGAACTTGCTTGGTCGATACGAGTGAAGACTTAAAGGAAATTGATGCTATACTTACTCCGCATTCATTTAATGAGCGTTCCGACTCGTAACGATCGCCTTAGTCAATACAGATTTAATAGGTGCTCATTAAAGAAGAGTGAATATAGTTAAGTATGTAATGGGCTGCCTTGTAAGAGTTGAGTTGTCTCTGAAATTATATCTGTGAGTCGATATAAAGCTGGACAACCTGTTTAATGCAAACGAGCTTCAGGGAACTTCAGAAACTGGGGCTTGAAAAATAATATAGCGATAGGTAAGATAACAGCAACATCCTGTATTGATAGAATTTCAATCAAGGCCCATTCGAAATAGGCGTTTGGAAAAACCGTAGATTTACTTCCCAGTCGGTAGGTAGTAGCCACGGTCTGTTTCACTTTTATATGTGCAACTTCCGCTAACTCAGTAAGTGAATCTTTCACACTTAGGTGACTATATTTATACCATCGGTTGGAATGCATTTGTGATATAACATTTCTCAGGAATGTCAGATATCGTTAATAATAAAAAAACCTTGCAAACGTGGTTCATCGAACGTGTCTTGTCTCGCAACCCAAAGATACTGATCCGCCACGCAAATGACCGACCTTAGGATAACGATCGTTGACCGCCTTTGCAGATAGCGTGGAATCTTTCTATATCAGAATCTCTGCTCCGTGCGTCAAATTCACAATTTATTTCGGAATAATCAGTCTGAGAAAAGTCGGAGACGCAGCTGGCATTTAAAAAGCAGAGAGTTCTAGCGGGAAAAATATGTTGGAAAGCATTAACGAATCTAGAGCACTTATTATGGTTCTTTGCCATTTTCGTATATTCTTAACACTCGACAGCTCAAAAAAGGCTCTCATCCTTTAACGGGGTTACTCATGGATAACAAATTATTCATTGACTACCATAATTATTATGGTACCATTGTTTCACAGCAACTTTCAACTTTTAGTATTGCGCAATTGACCATTGCTAGTGAGGCTTACGTGCGTATACGCCGTTAATATTGATTATACTGTGCATAGAATTGGAAGTAATTAATTATGAAAAAAACAAACAGAGCGATAGTTGTCGAGTAAAGTCTTGTTCAAAAGCAATGCTCGCCCAAACACAATCCTTTGAGTTATAAAACACAGAATCTGTAACGCAGGGTTGTATTTACAGAACATCACGACAAAAGAAGCCAGCTGTTCGATTGCCTGAGTGAACGTGTTGCATAACTTCGAATTTAGGTTTGTGCATTTTTGCTAAAAACAGCGGAAACTTCGGAGTAGGCAAGGTCCGAGGTAAACAAGTCGTGCGAGCGCTTCTATTGCAAATAAAAAACGATGAAGCACTGCAATATGCGCTCAGATTGTTCATAGGGCTTCGAATCAGATACACGAAGATATAGAAAGTGGCATTATCTCAGCGATTCTCTAGAACGGGAACGGAAACGGAAGGCATCATTCTTTCCGCGTCTCCCGATCGAGTCCTGGTTATCTTTTTTTGGAAAAAATATCGTGAGAGTAGTTACGGACTTCAAGGTACGGACTTAAGGACAAACGGACACTCTAAAGCTCTATTGGTGCCGAAAGGATTTTTAAAAACATAAAAAAGCGATGTTTAATATCGTACGCTGCGAAATACTACATCTACATAGACATGTGAAAGTGGTAAATCCATTTCAAAAGCTTTTAGCGTCGGTCAGTTCCTGTCGTTTAAAGAATTTACGCATTCAATTTAAATATGAAACACATTACAATGAGTGTAATTATAGGTATTGGATATATAGATACTAGCGGTCAGAGTCAAGAGTGCGCGAGCTTTCGGAGGCCTGGCGTCTTTCGTAGCAGATGTTTGACACTACCACAATCGTAGAGCTATCAGAAATTATTGCAGCTATATAAATACATCGGAAACCGTCAGACAGACTAGAGGAACAATGCAGTCAGTTTCATACTCTGATTCATAGACAGCAGACATTCTGTTATTCATTAAACGAGTTAGCCATTGTTAGTTTTTGAAGTAGAATACTGTTTTTGAATACTGAGTATAGTATCAGTGATGGCAGATACATTCCCAAAATCGTTGTTATTCCACCGATATCTCTATACAAAACAATATTAATGGCAACTAAAAAAAAGTGCGCTTCCATCGCGGCCAGATCCGCGGCTTGAGCTGCGAAAGCCGACGTACAGTCAAGCGGTTTCTAATCAAGTCGATATAGCGCAGAAGTCCAGAGGAAGGGTCCCTAATTGCCATTTTGGTAAGTAATAAGTAAAGTAAGATACGATAACAATCCGCGTGTGACACACGACGACTCCTTCTGAATTTATCGTTTGTCGATTAATAATGTCACTCAGCGAGGCTCAGAAAAGCCGCCAAAACGATAGTGGGGTCCGTGTTGCTCTTGAAGAACAGAACTTTTTTGGTCACGTAAACCGTTTACGCTAAATGGGTTTTCTGATGTGTGCTGATAGGGAATTGGCCTATGGGCACAGCACTTTTTAAACGAATGGTTCAAGCTTTTATGATGCTTTAAGAAATATCGAGGACATCCGAAAAACTCACGTAGCCGGTTGATCGACATCGGCAGTCAGCAAAAGCGTTGAAGTCGGTGTAGACTGCACTCTCACAAGCGTAATTCTGCGCACAGGAAGGTAGCAAACAGCTGCAGAAAAGCCGTAGGAAAAGTTACTTCGTGTTTAATTTTCATGTTCGATCAGTTAGTTGTGAGTCTGCCGTATTACGGACGCGCCTGCAAGGCCAGCTCAATGACGAGTATTAGACACACACACTTTGCGATGCTTTTTAGGTTTTTTGACAAACAACACAACGTATACATAATATAGCACAAAACAATTGGACCCACAGGGATTGATCACAGCATTTCTAAAGGTGATACTAGGACGGATTTAAGTATATAGTATTATAATAATTAGTCAGTCGTGAGATTTCGTTCAGAAATTGTTCTAGAATACCTTTTAGTATTAATGCCTTCCGTAATTGATTCAGCTTCAGTTAGGATCAAATTTACATAATTAAGCGTCAGCAATCGTTCTCACTTTGAGCAAATCGCGAAACAGGAAAAGCCGTGTTTGTTGAGACAAACGCGAACGATATCCCGGTATCGATTAAAGAACCTCTATAACGAGGCACGAAACAGGAACGGCAGGATTTTTGCAGTTGCATTTAGCCGTTCATGTACTAGATTATTACACACGATATATTTCGAATATACATTTCGAGTGGTTTAGAAATTATTCTATTAGTTCTATGTTGAAATGACAGCGTGTTAAGTTTTAGCTGTCATCAAACAGATTGCCCAATCTAATTCCTTGAATTCGCTTCGGAGGTCCGCCGTCAAAAGGAAGATAATGAAAAACGCGTTTTGGCACAGAATGTAAAGCGAGATGTTGCGGGAGATGCACTGAATTTCAAATAACGTGATGAGCGTACGTAACACTTCTGGAAGCATCAGTCGCCCAGTTCATCCGTCAGTCGTTTATATATTGCGCTGAATTTAAGAAATTGACTCGCTCACATAACTCGCGCGCCCCAGGCAGCGAGGCCATAAGTCAACTTCCATCTTTTTTTTTTTGAATGTGAAAAGTTTCTCACACATTGGTAATCAGAAGAAGCCACGAAATAGTATAAAGCCCAGAATGTTATGCCATCTGCCTTGTCGAATAAGATTCGGCTTAAGTGGCAGAAAATATAGTTTGTTGATTTAATCCCTACATGTCCCCTACGAAGCTAGAAGACATTAACGATGATGTGAACTTCAAAAAATGCCAATAGCAAGCTCAGTAAAGGAGTCCATATAAAGCTGCAGGTGTTGGTTGAATGATTTCCTTTGACCCCATTTGATGTATTGATCTAGAATTAATTATGTGTCACCTTTGTACCACAGACATAATGACATATGTCTTCATCGAAAGGGAATCGTTCACGTGCTGTACGACAGTACAGGTGCAAGCTTGAGCTGTCCAGCTCGTCACCTGACGTCGTTAGAAGAAAGCCCGCAAGTAAACAGGTAAAGACACAGTAGCACCTACAGATGAGACTTTTTCGTTCGAATTTTCCGCCATGACTTTGGTTAGTGGAAAGTCAGTACATCGTTCGTTTTGTCGTAGGTATCTACCTATGCTATGATAATATCTGTGATGAGAATTTACGTTTCTTAGTTATTGGTTGCAGTGATACATGTATATATATATATATATATATCTAATGTATGCATGAGATTTCAAACAGCCTATCTAGCACTGCTAGTGATAATGCCTGAGCGTAACTGTTCAATTAACAACCTTTCAAAGACTATCTTTTTCACGAGTGAGCGCAGACATGCAATAGTAAATTGAAATCTCTAGTGCATTGGAAGTTTGCGTTCACTCAGCCCGAGCGGGGTTTAAAGTAGAGATGCGCGACAGCAGTACGCAATGGGTATAGATAGGAAAAGCAGCAGGTAAGACAGTAGGAAAAAACGTCGGGGTCGATGTAGATATGCACATACAATTACTCCCAGACAAGCAGGCAAATAAATCGATCTACCTTAGGTAAGTTCCAGGGAAGACTTACTGCTCACACAGAACATAGAAATAGAGTACGCGCGGAAGCACAAGTTGTTTTGCGTCGTCTTTTTCGCCACCCGAACACGATCGTACGCGACGCGCACCACAGATGATAAGCTCTGACTAGCCACTTCGAAATGGAAACGGTATGATATTCGTAGATAAATAGGCAACGCTCTTTTATACAGTCTGTGTCACTTCGAATGGTGGTTCAACATGTATGTCGTTAATACATCGAGGTTACGCCTTGATAGATGCCAGACAAGGTAATAGGATGACAAGAACTTTCCCGTTCTTCGTTCATTGCTCACAATGTGGTAATCGCCTTGAGTTTTTATGTGAAAATAAGAGTCTTATGGGTTCGATCCGCACTATGCCTGCTTGTCCACCGCATTCGTCAATTAGCAATTGCCTAATGGCTAATGTGTGCC